CTGCTGTTCCCACCGGGATCCTGCCCTGTGCCCACCCTCCTCGCTCCCGGGATCCTGCACAGGAGCGAAAGCTGCAAATTCACAGCTTTTCAGCTGCATCCTAAAAATAAGAGGTTTGGGAAATATCGAGCAAATGAGTGGGAGGATGAGAAGAGGAGGAATTAATGGCCTGGCGCCAGGAAAGTGGCATCTGGGAAGCCCCGGCATGACAACGTGGCCACCTCATTCCCGGCCTCGTGGCCACCTCATTCCTGGCCTCGTGGCTACCTCATTCCCAGTCTCGTGGCCACCTCATTCCCGGCCTCGTGGCCACCTCATTCCTGGCCTCGTGGCAACCTCATTCCCGGCTTCGTGGCCACCTCATTCCCAGTCCCGTGGCCACCTGATTCCCAGTCTCGTGGCCCTCGATCCCAGCAGCACGAGGGGATGCCAATCCAGGCGGGATCCCTTCCCATCCACCATCCCGCTCCCAGCGTCCCCATCCGGGCTCAGCGGCACATCCCGACCCTGGTGAAATGTTGGGAGGGGGGGATGTGCCGCTCGCTTGGCACCTTCTCCCGCTCCCCTTTTCCCGGGAACGTGTTTCCGCTGCCGGTTTGGCAAGGCTGGATGCCCGTGTGGCAGCAGCTTGGCACATGGAGACGTTTTTCCGTGTGGAGCTGCCGGCTTTGATCGCCGCTTCCAGGGAGCTCAGCGGGAGCCGGGGCTGGGGAGGCTCCCACGGCTTTGATTCCCTCCCCGGGGGACTTTGCGTCCATGGATTTCACCACTGGACATAGGGGGGTGGAGCTGGGATACTGAGAAGCTGCCAGGGAGATGCTCTATCCATGAAACCTGGGAATTTTAGGATCTGCACCCAAAAGCACGGCTCTGAGGGCCCGGACAGGGATATCCCGATGGGACACCTGCGGAGAGGTCGGTTCCAGCCCTGGTGCTGCAGCTTTTTCCCACCGCTCATCCAAAGCCTTTGTTTCTCCACGAAGGTGTTTTCCAGCCTCTCCATGCCGTGCAGGAGCTTTCAGTCAGGAGAGGAGCTGGATCCCTCCCTGGATGCCCCTCGAGGGTTTTGGTGGGGGGTCACGGGGCAGCCCTTGGAGGGGATTGGGTGCTGGGATGGGCACAGGGACACAGGGAATCAGGGCAGGGAAAGGGCCACAGACATCTTGGATTGTGAGGGTCTCACCATCCTGGAGAGGAGTGTGCACGGAGCCACCGAGAGCACAGAGACACTGGAATGCACGGGGACACTGGGATGCACAGGGACACTGGGATGCACGGGGACACTGGGATGCACAGGGACACTGGGATGGATGGGGACACTGGGATGCACAGGGACACTGGGATGCACAGGGACACTGGGATTCACGGGGACACTGGGATGCTCAGAGACACTGGGATGCACGGGGACACTGGGACGGACGGGGACACTGGGATGCACAGGGACACTGGGATGCTCGGGGACACTGGGATGCACAGGGACACTGGGATGGATGGGGACACTGGGATGGACGGGGACACTGGGATTCACGGGGACACTGGGATGCTCAGGGACACTGGGATGGACGGGGACACTGGGATGCACGGGGACACTGGGATGCACAGGGACACTGGGATGGACGGGGACACTGGGATGCACGGGGACACTGGGATGCACAGGGACACTGGGATGCTCAAAGCCACCGAGATGCTCAGGGCCACCAAGTTGCCCAGGGCCACACAAACCCGAATCCATTGGATGCACAGGGCCACAGAGATGCTCAGAGCCACCAAAATTCCCAAAGCCACCGAGGTGCCCAGGACTGCCAGGACTCCCAAAGCCACCAAGATTCCCAAGGTCACCAAGGTGCCCACGACCACCGAGATGCTCAAAGCCACTTGAGTCGAGGCTGGAGCTCCAGGAGGAGGATCTGGGAGTGGCTGGGACACCCCTGGGTGTCCCCAGCCCGTGCTGCCAGCACAGGGGTGCCCAGCTGTGCCACAGCCCCCCTCCCACCACCACGGCACGTTCCCGATCCGTCGGCATCGGCGGCTCTCACCTCCTCCGGGCGGATCTCTGGCTTACACACTGCTCCGGAGGGCTAATCCCTCTTGGATCTCGGCGCCTCTCCTTGTGCCGGGGTCGGGTTTGAAGTGTTTCCTCACACCCACAAAGGCCGGGGCTTGCTCCCGCTCCGGAGGCAGCTAATCCCGAGCCTGCGGGAGCGGCGGATAAAGGAGGACGGGCACTTGGCAGCAGGCTGGAATCACAACCGCCACCCCCGGCTCCCAAATATCCCCCGTCTCCCACTCCAAGGTGCAGGGTGTGGGCACGGGGGCGTGAGGGGGTCTCCTGCTTGGCCAAGAGGTGTGTGTGGGAAGGGATCCACCGTGGAGACCCTCTCCATGCATCCAGGACCCTCTTCTCGCGGCACCGTGACCCTCTTTCCTGGAACAGGGAAACTCTCAGCACAGGGACCCTCTCCCTGCATCCAGAACCGTCTCCCCCTGGAGCGGGGAGCCTCTCCCCTGGCACAGCCGGCTCCTGCTCCCGCAGCTCCACACAAATCCGCCGCTGGAGAGCCGCGGCATTAGCGAGGCAGGTAATCCCCTCATCGATAACCGGCTGGGAAAGTGGAATTATATCCCTCAAGTGGCATTGAATCCTGATGAAAGAGCCGCAGGGATGTTCCACCCCCTTCCCAGCCTCCGCGGTGCTCTTCCAGCACGTGGGACGGGACAGGGAGACCCAACCCCTTGGAGGGGGACGTGGGATCTCCGTCTCGTGGACACCCCCCTCGCTGTGCCAATGGGGCGAGGCAGGACCAGCGAAGGGCAGGTGGGATTTGGGATTTGGGGTGCGGACCCCCCAGTCCCACCCGGCCGTCTCCTGCTCCGGGCTGGATCGGCGCTGGCAGCCTGGGAAACTTACGGAAGGAGAGACAGCGGCGGTGTGAACAAGCGCCGCGTTGTCACCTTGTCACCCTCTCCCGGGGCCGACGCTGCTCCCCGTGCTCCCCCTGCACCCACCCGCCCCGTGGCATTCCCGTTCCAAGCATTCCAAGCGGCGCGGATACCCCACACCGCGCCCCAGGGCTGGGGACGCTCCGGGAGCTCCGAGCGGCTCCGGTTCTTTAATTAACCAAGCGCTAATTGCCTGGAAAACGAGCCATCGACCTCCTGCTGAGGGCGGCAGCGGTCGGGGGGCTGGAATGGCCCCCCCGGCCTGGGGACACGGCTGATGGATGTGTATTCCCACCGGGAAGGGCTGGAACCCCCCCTGGACACAGGGACGGCGCCGGAATCTCTCCCCCAGCCTGGGGACAGAGCTGAGGGATCCATGTTTCCACCGGGAAGGGTTGGAACCCCCTCGTGCACAGGGACACCCCCGGAATCGCTACCCCCGCCCTGGGGATATGGTTGAGGAATGAGCGTTCCCAGCGGGAAGGGCTGGAACACCCCCCGTGCCCGGGGAGCACCCCCAGGCAGATTCCCGCTGGTATATCCATCGGGATCGCCGGGTGATGCCAGGCTTGGGCGTGTGGTGGCACCTCGGCTCTAGGAACTTGGCCCCTGGAACTCACTAATATCCCTCTCCGTGGTGGCTTCTTTTCCTCTCCTTCTCCTTTGATTCCCTCTCTGCAGATTAATTTGGGGATGACCCCGCAGGAGCGAAGGGTTTGTGGAAGCTCCGGGATAAACCAGAGGGGTCACCGTGTTCCCAGGTCGGATCAGAGAGCGCCGAGGGGGCTGAGGCAGCATTTGGGGGGGTCACCCCCGATCCCAGTAAGCCCATGTCCCACTTGAACTGGTCGGGATCCCGAGGAGGGGGTCCCAAGCCCTTCCCGCCAGATCCAGCTCTTTCCATTCCCCCAGCAGCTTATCCAGCCGGGGTTTATAAATGTTTGAAATTAAGGGTTGGTCCCAAATTCCCTCCTAGGCAACAGTTGCTATGTGAGTTTTATACACAGGCTCCTCGTGATCCGGGAGCGATGGAGGAGCTGCCTTTGGATGGAGGGAGTGCTGGTGGGACCCCCAGCCCTGTTCCCTAAATCCCCCCCAGGATCCCACCCTTCTCCCACCCTCATCCCACCACCCTCAGCTAATCCCGAATGGATTTCTATAAAACTCCTCTTTGTGGTCACCATCCCCTTTCCTCCTTTTCATCCCGAGGTGGGGGGGCTGTGGGTGCTTTTCCAAGTGCAGGGGCGGGGGGTGGATTCCAGAATCCCAATCCATTCTCCCGGTCCCCTCTGACTCACCCAGGCCCCGGAGCCGCCGGCAAAATCTGCTACAATAACAAAGGTCTGCGGGCGAATTAATTATTAACAATTATTGTTTAATATTTATACCGCAGCACAGCTCCCGCCGCCGCTTCCCGACTCCATGCACGGCCCCCATCCCAGCGGGGTGTGAGGTGTCCACAGGGATGCTGTGCTGGGGTCCTACCTGGAATTAAGGCTGAGCCAGTCTGGGGGTCCCGCTGGACCCCCCCCGAGCCACCTTAGATCCGTGATCATGCTCCCACAGTTCCAGGGCCATTCCACAGGCTGGGAGCAGGGATATGATGTGCTGGATGCAGTGGAGTGGTCTCCATCCGTTTGTGGGGTCCCCAGGGTTGTCCCCATGGGAAATGCTGCTGCTTGGGGCGAATCCGTGTGGGACTGGCTGAGCCAAAGAGGGAATTCTGACCGGGGGCTGGATGCAGGGCATGGATCCAGGGACAAAACTGGGGTTGCTTGTCTGGAAGGGAGGGAAGAGGAAGAGGAAGGAAGAGGAAGGAAAAGGGGAGGGGGCTGGAGAAGGTGAAAGGATGAGGAAAGGATGAGCATTAGGAAGGCAAAGAGGGAGGAAAAGAGACGGGCTGGACAAGGGGAAGCCTGGAAATCGGGAAGGGGAAGGAGCTGTGTTTTCCCTGCCTCTCCTCCCCCGGCTCTCCCGGATGCTCCCTGTGGGTGCTGCGCCCCCACCCCCAGCAGGAACACCCCGGGAATGCCCTGTGACCCCCCTGTTGTGTCCTGCAGGGAGCCCCTCCCGGGACGTGCTGCTGGTCTCAGCCATCATCACCGTCAGCCTTAGTGCCACCATCGTCCTCTGCGGGATCTGCCAGTGGTGCCAGCGCAAGATGGTGAGTGCCACCATTCCCTGCCCCCTTCCCGGCCCGGGGGGCAATTCCCGCTGCCGGGGATTCCCTGGCTGTGCCTTTCCTTCGGGCTGGTTTTTCTGGCCGGGATAATGAAAGGTTCGCGTGGCACGAAGGGAAGTTTCCAAATATCTGGATATATGTTGGTGACGAGCCGGAACGAGCTGGCCCCTGTCCTGCTGGGCACGCTCCCGCCTGGAAAAGCCCCGTGGGAAGGCGGCCAGCCCGTCCCTGGCACCACGAGCCGTCCCTGCTGCCCGCTTCCCTCTGCATTCCCACTGTGGATGGGGGCAGCGCTCCCTCCCTTCCTCCTCCTCCTCCTCCCGCTCTCCCGGGAGCAGGACGTGCTCGGCCACGTTTCCTTCGCCGTCGGAATCAAATCTGGGTCAAGTGCTCCGATGGCAGCGGCGCTTCCCGTGTGGGAGATGCCCACCCTGAGCCGTGGGAAGGCAGCATTCCCCCGGGAATGGGAGAGGGGATCTGGCCGGGGGTAAGGCAGTGTGGGGGTGCTGGGTGGGAAGAGGCTTCCAGGTGCCCTCCAGGAGATGTGGAGAGGCAGGGATAAGCACTGGAAAGGAGGAGGATGAACTGGCAGGGGAACAAACAAGTGTAAATTGGCCGGGAAGGCGAATCCCAACCGGCCCTCGGCAGCGCCCGGAGCTGGAACGGCTGCGTGGGAATGACGGCCAAGCCCGGCAGGCCCGGCTCCGGGTTGTGCCCACGCGGCCACTGCCGGGAGGGCCGGGTCCTCAGGAGCCCTGAGCCGGGACAGGGATGAGCCCAGGGCTCAGGGATGACTCCCTCCAGGATGGCCTGTGGACATCCAGGGAGGTCTGACATCCCTGCAGCTCCTGGCAGGATTAGCCCACGGGCATCCAAGAAGATCCAGGTGTTGCCCTGCAGCTCCCAGCAGGATTAGCCCACGGGCATCCAAGGACATCCAACATCCCTACAGAGCCCAGCAGGATTAGCCCATGGGCATCCAAGGACATCCAACATCCCTGCAGATCCCAGCTGGATTAGCCCATGGGCATCCAAGGAAATCCAGGTGTTCCCCTGCAGCTCCTGGCAGGATTAGTCCAAGGGCATCCACGTTCCAACATCCCCACGGAGCCCAGCAGGATCAGCCCATGGGCATCCAATATCCCAGCAGGATCAGCCTGTGGACAGCCAAAGAGATCCAGGTGTTCCCCTGCAGCTCCCAGCAGGATTAGCCCAGGGACATCCAAGGACATCCAACATTCCTGCAGCTCCCAGGAGGATTAGCCCGTGGGCATCCAAGGAGTTCCAACACCCTGGCAGCTCCCAGCTGGATCAGCCCATGGCTGCCCAAGGATGCTGTGCCAAGAGCACAGGTGTCTCAGCATTCCAAGGATTTGGCTCCGTGTGGAGCTGCAGAGGCTGGGAAGGAGGAGAAGGGAGAAATATTCCCATTCTCTGGATGCAGGGGGGATGCTCCCAGCTCCAGGCCCAGCGTGGTGGAAGGGCCGGTTCTCCAGCCCATCCTGCTGCAGGAGCTGGTCCCTTCCCACCTGGAGCCTCCTCGGCTCCTAATTGTTGCCTAATTGGCGCTAATTGCGCTCCGGGCTCGGAGCGTGCGGAACCCGCCGGAGTGTCCTGATTACCAGCCCCAGTTAGGAGCCAGCTCCGGCTTCATTATCCCACGGCAGTGCTTCCCGGGCACTGGGAAAGGTGAACTCAATTAATCCAGCTTCAATTAAGCCTAAAATTATCCGCTGCTTCCCGGTGAGGCCTTGGAATGGGACACCGAAGGCGGTGACCGTCCTGTCCTTGGGGTGACGTGGGGCACAAGCCCCCAGGGATCACGGGCACGGAGCAACTGGGAATTTTGCTGCTTGGATGGGTGGGATGGGACCTGGAGACTGCGAGGGAATAAGGGAAAAAGGTGAAATCTGGGACGAACTCAGCAGATGGAGGCAGCTCCCATCCTTTGTTGGGATGCTCCAGGGATCCCCTGCCACTCCCTCATTCCTCCCTCCTGCCTTTTCCATAGGGAAAGCGTTACAAGACTTCCCTGGAGACTGTGGGAACTCCGGATTCCAGCCGAGGCCGCAGCGAAAAGAAAACCATCAAGTAGGTGCCAGGACTGGGGGGGAGAGGAAGGACAGAGGTGGCCATTCCCTGGTTCCCCACTCCCAGTGGGAAAGGGGCTCCGGGACACTGGGAGAGCTGGTGGGTCTCTCCCGCATCCTTGCGTATCCCATGGAGCCAGAGGATGGAGCCACGGGAGCCTCAGCCCAGGGATGCTCCAGGTCTGGGCGTGCAGATGGCTCTGCATCCCAGGGGCATTCCGTGCAGGAAGGAGAGCAGAGCTGAAGTGCCTCATGGCTCTGGGCAGGGAATGAAGTGCGGGGTTGGAAGTTGGAGGGGCTCTCCTGGATATCCCAGATCCAGTAGTGCCTCTGGAAACCCCCCACAGGGCTCCAGGGAGGAGGGAGCCGGACCGGCAGCAGGGAAAGAGCTCCTGCCTGGAATAAGGCTATGGAAAACCTCCTCCCACGGTGTTGTTGGGGTGCAAGTGTCCGGGGTACCTCGGGCACCTGGATGCTGCTCCCAGCCCAGCTGGGATGAGCTGGAAGTGGAGTGGGAAGCACATCCCCTCCTGAATCCCGGCACACGTGGCTTTCCCTCCCCAGCTCCGGCACAGCCGGGATCATCCCAGAGCTGCAGGTGGGCCCTGGCGAGGGCTGGGAGGGCCGGGCAGCGGTGGCTTTTCCAGTCTCCCAGGGGGGACCCTCTGGGCCCCCAATCCCTGGCACACAGGTCTGGTGGCTTCCCAGAGCCAGGAATTCCAGGCTCCATGCTGGCAGCAGGAAGGGATCCGGAAGGGTCTCCAACACGTGGTTAACCATGCAGGGCACACTTCCAGGACCTGTTGAGGAGGCAACATGGACACACACGGGAATACCGTGCCGGCACCACGCTCGCTCCTTAATTCCCACCATCCTTCTCTCCTTCCCAGCCGGTGGAGCCGCCTGCTCCTGTCTCTCCACAGCTCTTCCCTGCTCCATCCGTCCGTCTGTCCCCGTCCGTGTGTGTGTGTGTCGGTGTCCCAGGGATGGGCAGCCGCGCTCCCTGTCTCTCTCCGCAGGATCCCGGCGCTCCGGGGCCAGAGCGCTGCTTTCCCTTCCCCTTTCCCGCAGGAATTCAGCTTCTCTCTCTTGTATTTCCCTTTTCTCTTCTCCCCTGGAATCCGGCCGCTGTAGCGATCTAGACAGAGACTTTTGGAATAACAATGACAACACAGTGCAGCAGAAATGGAGCTCCTACCCTCCCAAGGAGTTTATCCTAAACATTTCTCCTTACGCTCCGTACGGTGATCCGCGCCTTTCCCTCAAGTGAGTCTCTCCTTGCCGGGTTTGCTCCGTGTAGTGAGTATTTGGGCAGCACCCTCTCACCTTCCTCCTCCTCCTCCTCCTCTTCCTCCTGCTCCTCTTCCTCCTCCTCCTGCTCCCGGGCTCCCCGCACGCCACCCCATGGGCCTCCCCATGGAGACGAGCAACCCCTCCTTCCCGCTTTCCCGGGGCTTCCTGGGATGTCCCCCCGGGACGGGGTTGCGCGTTGGGGGCACCCCCTCGGCGCGGGGTCGGGCTGCCGGCGAGCGGGACCCCAATTCCCGACCCCTTTCCCATCTCCCCACTTTCTTTTGGACGGTTTTCAGAGGCCCCCCACGCGCCCCCCGGCCAGGCCCCCCCTTTTTTTTTTTTGGCAGTGCTGATGTCTCTCTCTCTCTCTCTGTCTGTCTGTCCGTCTCTTGTCCGTCTGGCTCTGTCACCCTCTCCCCTCACTCCTCTCCCACGTCCGTCCGTGTGTCCGTCCGGCTCCGTGTGTGTCCTGGGGGGTGTCCGGCCGCCGGCCCGGCCCAGTGGCTCTCTGTTATCAGGGGCCAAGCTGACGGCGTCGGCCGCCTCCGGCTTATCCGGGGACCGGCCCGGGGACAAGCAGCGGCTCGGCGAGGACGGGATGAGGAGCAGCGTGTCCGCCCACAGCGAGCCCGGAGCGGGAAAGGCGGCACGAGGCCGCTGGCACACGGTGCAGAGCCACTTGGCCGCAGGGAAGCTCAGCCTGTCCAAGTGAGTGAGCACGGCACCGGCACGGAGACGCTCCCCTCCGAGGGATGTGCTTGGATGGGGGCCACCGGCAGGTTCCCGGGGCTACCAACGTGTTCCCGAGGTCACCGCCAGGTCCCTGGGGCCACCAATAAGTCCTCAGGACCACCAACAGGTCTTCAGGGCCACCAATATTTTCCCAAGGTCACCAGCAGGTTCCTGGGGCCACCAGTAGGTTCTCAGGGCCACCAATAGGTTCTCAGGACCACCAACAGGTCTTCAGGGCCACCAATATATTCCCGAGGTCACCAGCAGGTCCCTGGAGACACCAACAGCTCCTCAGGGCCACCTATATATTCCCAAGGTCACCAACAGATCCCTTGGGCCACCAACAGGTCTTCAGGGCCACCAATATATTCCCGAGGTCACCAGCAGGTCCCTGGAGACACCAGCAGGTCTTCAGGGCCACCAACATGTTCCCAAGGTCACCAACGGGTCCCTTGGGCCACCAGTAGATCCTCAAGACCACCAACAGGTCTTCAGGGCCACCAACAGAACCCTTGGGCCACCAGCAGATTCCCAGAGCCACCAAGAGGTCCTCAGGGCCACCAATATGTCCCGAAGGCCACCAGCAGATTCCCAGGGCCACTGTGCCGAAGGCAATGAGGAGTTTCCCGTGCTCCTGATGTTGTTTTGGCTCAGAGGGAGCCCCTTTAGGTGCCATGTCTGGCACATTTCCAGCTTTGTCTGATCCCGGCGGGAAGCAGCTCAGCATTCCCAGGGCAGGCAGTGCCACCTTGGTGATGGCCCAGAGACGGGAAGTGCTGTCCCATGTTCCCATCCCTCGGGAATGGTGTCGTCTCCAGCCTCTTCCCTCCCCACGCTCCCCTGACCCGGTGCCAACATAACATTTGCGGCTCTACCACCCCATACTGGGAAAATCTGGGAGAAGTCCAGGATCGATCAGTTTTAGGGAAAATCCAGGCTTTGGCAGGCTCGGGGGGGGGGTCAGTGAGACCCTCCGCTGGGAAGGGTCAGCTCTGCCGGCTGCTGATGGGAATGTGTCAGATCTGGCTCCGTCCTGTGTTCCTGGACTCTGCCCTGGTTCTCCAGCACCAGGATGTGGCATCCAGGACATCCCGGCAACAGCCCCGGCACCCTTGGAGAGCCTGGGGGTTCCCAGGCTGGTGTGCTTTTCCAGCCGTGTCAGTGGGGAGGAAATCTATGGAAAAGGGGCAGGCCCGTCCTGCTGCCTGGGAGAAATCCCGAATGCCCCCAGAATCGGTGGCATGACGCTGGCGTGCTCCAGGTGGGAACTGGGAGCAGGAGGGAGAGGCAAGGAAGAGGGGGAGCCGTATTCAGACTCGGTGGAGAAGCGAATTCCCACTGGGAATCCGGACAGACGGACGCCGGCCGGCGCAGGCGGCCAGGGCAGGGTTAAGGGCACGTCCCGTTTTCCAGCCGTCGGGATCGGGGGCGTCCTGGGGGTCCACGCTGAGGGTCTGGGTGCTGTGCCCCGCTCCCGGTTCCACGGGATCCATCCGGGAGCGGGCAGGGCGCGGGGCCGCCTGGCACGGCGCTGGCAGAGCTCGCGCCTCCAGCTGGCGCGGGGCCGACGGGAGCCAGATTTAGTTTCCTGTGACTGAGAGGTTGTAAATTGAACTAATTTAGGATTCCATAGGAAAACGAAAGGAGGGCGGCGGCGGCGCGGGGGGAGGGGGGGCAGTGCCCAGGCAGTGCCTCCGGCTCCGGCCATCCCGGCTCTCCGCTCCTCTCCACTCCCTTCCCTCCTCTCTCTCTTCCTCCCGCCTTTCGCTCTTTCTTCACCTCTTTATTTCGGTTTTTGGAGCTATTTATCCCTCCCCTGCCATCCCCCTCTCCCCCCGCCGCTGGCACTGCACGATGGCACAGCTTTGTCCCGTGGCAACGCCGGGATCGGGATGAGGTCGGCGGGTGCCGCTCGAGGCGACTCCTCGGTGGTCCCTGGGGGCATTTTGCCCCCCGGTCCCGCGGTCACGAGCATTCCAGGCCGCCACGGGCATTCCCGCCCGGCTGCATGGGCCGCGCCAGGCATGCGCTGCTTCCTCGCCGGCATCCCGCCCGCTCTTCCCGCTCTGGAAGCCTGTCCGTCCCGGGCCGGGCTTCTCCGCTCTCCGCGTCCCACTGGAGCCGCGTCCGCATCCACCGTCCCAGAGCTGGGAGCCTCCCACCTCGGGCATCCCTCCCCGGGGCCCCCCGGCTCGCTGGAACGTCCCCACGGCGGGGATTCGGGCCCGCGGGATCCCCCCCGCTCCCGGTGGGATGGGGACGCGGAGCCCCCGCGGCGCGGGCGCGGGGCTGGGCGGGGAGGGAGCGGGGCCGAGGGGCCGGGCCGGCGGCACGTGAGCGGCCGCCGCGGGATTTGCCTCCTCGCAGCAGCCTCATTCTCCCGCAGACGAGGTCGGGCGCCGGGAAGCGGAGCGGCAGCCGCGGGAAGCGGGTGGGCACATCCAGCCCGGCCGAGCCCCCCGGGGGGGGACGCGGGACGGGCGACATGGTGGCGGCACGAGCCCCCCGGGCCCCCGGCAAGGCCGAGCCGCGGGCGAGAGGCGGAGGATCCGGGCGCCGCTCCCGCTGGCTCCTGCCGGAGCGTTCCCTGCGCTGGGGCATCTTCTCTCTAACTCTCTTCTTTTCCTTCCTCCAATTTTGCCCCTTCACCTTCTTCTCCTTTCTCTCCTCTCCTCTGCCCTTCCTCTCCCTAAGTTTCGAGGACTCCACCCTGTCCACAGCCACTACCCTTGAGTATATCCCCACCTCAGCAGGCGATCCCAAATTCCAGAGGCCCCGCACGCTCATGCGCCAGCAAAGTCTGCAGCAGCCCCTCAGCCAACACCAGCGCGGCAACCACAGCCAGCCCACCACCAGCCAGAGCCTGGGCCACCTCCAGGCCCACAGCGGCCCCTCCGGCACCGCCGCCAACTCCCGCGGCGCCCGCGGCGGCCAAACGCGCCAGGGAACGGCCGCCGGCTCCAAGCAACGCATGGCCGGGGGCCGGAGCCGCTCCAACCCCGGCAGCTGGGACCACGTGGTGGGGCAGATCCGCAGCCGCGGCTTGGACATGAAGTCCTTCCTGTAAGTGTGTGCTCTCCAGCGCTCTTCCCTCCATCGCCATCCCCATCGCCTCCTCTGCTCCACCATCCTCTGCATCTCTGTCTCCTCTGGTCCATCGTCCTTTCCATCTCACTCTCCTCTGCTCCTTTGCCTGCTCCATCCCCGTCTCCTCTGCTCCATCCCTCTGCTCCATCCCCATCTCCTCTGCTCCATCCCTCTGCTCCATCCCTGTCTCCTCTGCTCCATCCCTCTGCTCCATCCCCATCTCCTCTGCTCCATCTCTCCCTCAATCCCTCTCTCCATCCCTCTCTATCCCTCTTTCCTCTGTTCCATCCCTCTGCTTCATCCCTCCCTCTATCCCTCTCTCCATCCCCGTCTCCATCCCTCTCCTCTGCTCCTTCATTTGCCCCCGCACGGCCGCTCGTCCATCACCCCCTCGGGGACACACTGCTCATTCCCGCGGGAAGATCCATGTCCCCTCCATCCCCCTCACGGGGGGCAGGGATGACCCACCCGGCCCGGGGGGCTCAGGGAAGGGTCCCCCAATTTGCTTTGCCGTGTCACCGGCTGGGCTGGATACTGCACTCCTTTTCCATCCCCAGGGAATGCAGGGATGATCCAGCCCGCGGGATAGCCACCGGCGCTGTCCCCGGGGAGTGACATTGTCCCAAGGATTCGGGGAGGGGGGGGCGGCGGCCCCCGTGCAGGGCGACCGTGTGTTGGGTCCCGATATCGCTCCCAGCCGGAGGATCCGTGTGATCCTTAAGCTCCTTAACCCCATCTCCTCCATCGGCGCTGGATTCCCAGCATCAAACCCCGGGGGCTAATCCGAGTCCCGTGTTGTCACCGTGTCTCGGCACATGACAATGTCACTCCTCCGCAGAGCCGGTGCCCCCGGCTCCATCCTCCCCCGGATTCTCCAGCTCCTCCCTTTCCTCCGTTTGCCCCCCAGCACCCTGGAAAAAGGGATGCTGAGGTCCCAGCTGCGCCTCCCGCAGGCTGGGAGCGCTGGGAGTGGGACACGGGGACTGATCCTGCCCTTCCATGAGCTGGCACAGCACCTCCTGCATCAGGATTAGGTGGGAAACACCCCGAGAGGCACCAGTTTGGGTGCTCATCCCGCTCCTTCCCGCACAGGCAGCTCTGGAGAGAGGGACGAACCTTCCTCCGGGCCCCCTGGGGTGCACTGACCGTGACCCCCCCCCCCGCTCTCCGATCTTCCCTTTCCCACCGAGAGGTCCCTTCCAGCTCCATTTCCCGGGTTCCCAACACGGAGCTGCGGCTCCTCAGTCGTCCCGAGGGTCACGTTCTCCCTGTTTACCGAGCCCTGGTGCCGCTTCCAGCCTGGAATGGGCGGAGGGGGAGCAGCCGCAGCGCCCAGACGTGCCGAGTCAGCGCGGAGGAGCCGCTGCCACTTCCCACCGCCTCTTTCCCGATCCATTGATTTTCCTTTTGCTCCGCTCACCCTCCCCGGCGCCGCGGTGTAAATGCGGCTCCGGATCCCACAGAGGCCGCTCCAGAGGGGGCAAAGAGCCTCGGATAGGGCACCGCCGCCCCCTCCTCCATGGAATGATGCCGGTGCCTCACTCCTGCGATACCGTCCCTCGTTCCCAGCCCCTCCGGTCGCCTTTTCCCCCTTTCACCAGGATTTTGGCATCCTCCCTGCCTGGACTGGTGGAGGAGAGGGATATCCAGGCGGGGGTATCCATCTCCCCGGAGCCGGAGCCTTTCTCCCCGCAGCCCATCCCGCAGGAGCCGGCGGGCGCGTCCAGGGGCCCCTCGCCGAGGTCCCGCCGGCTCCTGCCGGTTCCCCGCCTGACGCTGTGTTCTCCTCTCTCTTTCTCTCTCTCTCCCGCTGCCGGCGGGGCCCGCCCGGGCAGGGAAGGCCGGATGGTGGTGTTATCCCTGGTTTTGGGACTCTCAGAGCAAGATGACTTTGCCAATATTCCCGACCTGCAACCCGCTGGGACGCAGCCGAACCAGGCGAACGCTCAGGGGGACAAGAGGTATGAGCGAGGACGAGGCCGGTCCCGCAGGAGGAGGACACGAGGGCCCCATCCAGGGAGGAGGAGGAGGAGGAGGAGGAGGCTGCCCTCGTGGAGCGCCAAGGTTGGAGCGGCACAGGGTGGCCCAGCGGGCACCGGGACGTCTGAGCTCTCCCCGTCTGAGTTCTGCCTCCGGAGCGGCGGCACCGAGAGGACTCCCCACCCCTCCCTCCTCCCTCCTTCCTCCCCCTCCTGCCCTTCCCGGCGCTGGCTGCATGCGGGGGGACGCGCTCGGGCAGCCGCGGGGCAGGGGGGACGCGCGGGGACCGCCCCAAAAGGACTCTGCACGGGCTGAGCCGCGTCCCGTCCCCACAGCGCCGCTGCCGCCTCCGTCCCGGCGGGACGGGCAGCATCCCTTGGGATACGGGGACACGGCGCCGCTGCCGCCTCCGTCACAGAGGGACGGGCAGCATCCCTTGGGATACGGGGACACCGTTGCCCCCTCCCCCAAAGGGGCAGAGCGAGCGCGACGTGCCGGGAGGACGCGTTATGCCCGTTCTCCTCCGGCCCGGCACTGCCCCTCGCCTCCGGCTGCTCCCCGCGATCCCGGGATGCCAAAGGCTTGGCATGGCACGCCGCAGCGGCAGGAGAGCCCGGCTGGCAGCGGCGGAGGGTCCGTGTGCCGCCGGGAGCGGCTGTTCGTCCCCTCCGGAGCAGGGGGGAGGTGTGAAGCCGGCGGGCTCTGCTCGGCGTGCGGCTCAACTGGCACCGTTCTCGCCCACCGGCTATTTTTACCCTGCTCCGCTTGGTTTTCGCTCCATCTTTTAGCACTTCCCTCCCCGGCGTCGCGCTGCGCAGCCGGTCCCTGCCGGGAGCACCGGGAATACCGGGAGCACCGGCAGCGCGTGCCGACGGGACGGGGGGGCACCTGGGACACGGCGGGGGGGGGGGTGGCTGTGCCGCAAGACCCCGCTCCCGCTTCCCGCATCCAGGCTCCAAAAACCCATGCCGGTGCACGCATGGCCTCCCCACCTCCATCCCCGCTCCTCCCCATTCCCTGAGCTCCGCAGGACGCGGCGGGTCCGGCCGGCGGAGGGGACGCGCCCGGGCGGCCTCCGCTCTCTCCCGCCCGGCGACGCTGCCGACCGACCGCTCTTCTTCCTCTTCCAAACACCTCCTCCATCCCTGTTTCTCAGCTTCTTCCTTCCAGCCCGGCCCCGGCGGCTCCAGCCCGGCGCCTCGGCGCGTCTCCCGTCCCGGCGACCAATCGCTCTCCGTCCGTCTGTCCATCCCCCCTCTCCCATTCCCTCCCGGCAGGCCGGCGCTGGATGACACCGCTCCTCCTTTCTCTTGCTCTTTCCCGCTCTCTCTCCCGCTGTCCGTGACTTCCTGCGGCTCCACCGGTGCCTCCTCGCCCAGCGGCTCCTCCGCCTTTCATTTTCCCTGGTTTTAACTTTATTTTCCCTCCCCAGCTGCCTCGGCCTCTCCGGTCTTCCCGGGTGCCATCCCGTGTGTGCGTGTGCGTCCTCTCCCTGTGTGTCAGCGTGTGCTTGGCGTGGTGTGGCGTGTCCGTGGCATGTTCTGTGCCTTCCCGAGTGTCCCTGCACCTCTTGGTGGTTTGTCACGGTGTCGTGGCTCAGCGGGAGCATCCCGGGGTGCCTGTCCCCCCTCTGCCATGTTCCTGTGTCCCGTTGTCCCTGTGCCTTGTGGCAGCGTGGCCCTGGTGCATTCCCGTCTCCATCGCTGCTCTGTCCGGCTGCCTCCCGCCGCTCCCGGCTGCCCACCCTTCCCGGCACCATTCCCACCATCCGGGAGCCACCGGGACAGCGATCCCGGGGGGGTCTCGGCCGCAGGAAAGCATGTGGAGCACCCATGGGTGCCCACCGGGATAACGGGCTGTGGTGTGTGAGGTGCAGCCGGAGCCGCTGGTGGGGACAGGGCCGTCCCTGGCCTGGGGACACGGACGGTGTGGGACCTGCTGCTGTGCTCCGAAGGTCCCAGGGCACCCACTGGCACCGGGATCGGGGCCGGGAAGCCAGTGGGCCGCAGCCACCGGTGTCCTGGCAGCGTCCATTGGGTGCTGGCACAGCCCCGGCGCAGCATCTGCTGGGAGAGGGCTCCCGGGCAGCCCCTCACGGTCTCGTCCTCGGCTCTCCCGGCCCCTCTCCTCCAAGGAATTGCCTCTCTTTCCGCAGGTTGCCGGCCGGCGGCAAGGCCGTGAACACGGCGCCGGTGCCGGGGCAGCCGCCCCACGACGAGTCCGACCGCAAGACGGAGCCTCACTCCTCCGTCTCCGACCTGGTCAACTCCCTGACCAGCGAGATGCTCATGGTGGGTGGACGGGACGCACCGGGAATGGGGTCTCCACGGTCGGCATCCCGCCCGTGCCAGAAGAGCTCCGGCACATCCCCCCTCTCCGCCGAGTCCCCGCCGGCTCAGCGCCTCCCCGGGGCCGGCACGAGGGAGCGAGCGGGGCCGGACACGTGAGGGCTGTGCTGTCAGGAGGGATTTGGTTAATTGGAGCTCCCGCTTCCCCGGGACGAGTGGCACGGAGCCAGGAGTCATGGGAAGTCATGGGAAGCGGCGGGGGCAGCGGGGAGAGGCTGATGGCCCCTGACAGCTCGCGGGGCTGGGGGCCGGGGGTCAGGGTGATGCGAGGCCGGGGGGACGGGGGTCCCCAGCAACGCCCGGCATCGCTCTCACCTCCCTCTTCCCCCCCAGCTCTCCCCGGGCTCCGAGGATGACGAGGGCCACGAAGGCGTGAGCCGGGAGAACCTGGGCCGCATCCAGTTCAGCGTCGGCTACAACTTCCAGGAGTCCACCCTGACCGTGAAGATCATGAAGGCGCAGGAGCTGCCGGCCAAGGACTTCAGCGGCACCAGCGACCCCTTCGTCAAGATCTACCTGCTCCCCGACAAGAAGCACAAGCTGGAGACCAAGGTGAAGAGGAAGAACCTCAACCCGCACTGGAACGAGACCTTCCTCTTCGAAGGTAAGAACTGGGATGGACCGGGAGTGGATGGATTGGCCCAGGGCGGGAACGGAGCCATGGTGGGACCTGGGGGTTCAGCTCGACTCAAGCCACTGGCGTGGTGGCCATCGGTGGTGCCGTGGGCTGGCCAAGCCTCCAGGGCCAGGTTGGAGGGGTACCCCTTAAAGGGGACATGGGGGAAAGATGGGAAGGCTCCATCCCCCCAACAAGCCCCCACGGGTGGGAATTAACCTGGCACCGGCCCCTCGGGCCGTGCTCTGCTCCTCGTGCTCTGTGTGGTTCCAAAGTCTTGCTGTTATCAGGGAAAGGGTGAAGGGGTGCCGGCTCCTCATTCCCTCCTGCTCCTCATCCCTCCAGCTCCTCATTCCCTCCGGCTTCTCCTCCCCTCTGTCTCTGTGCAGGGTTCCCCTACGAGAAGGTGGTGCAGCGGGTGCTGTACCTCCAGGTGCTGGACTACGACCGCTTCAGCCGCAATGATCCCATCGGAGAGGTGTCCATCCCGCTCAACAAGGTGGACCTCACCCAGATGCAGACCTTCTGGAAGGACCTGAAGCCGTGCAGCGATGGCAGCGTAAGGCCCTGGGCCCACTCCCACCCCCCCTGTCCCTGCAGTGTCCCGTCAGGACCACCCCCCACTTCCTACCCCAACAGGGATGTTTTCTGCTGTTTTCCCTGATGAGACGTTTCTCTTCCCAAAGCTTTCTATTAAGGCTCCGAATGGCCCATTTTGGGTCAAAACAAGTTGTTTCAGGTAGATCCAAAATGAAAGTTTTCTCCTCCTCCCGCCTCCAGCAAGACCAGCGAACGTCCCACCGGGGGTGTCCCCGTTTCCTCCTGCCCTGATTTTCTGGGCAGCCCCAAAACCCCAACTCCGGGGGGGTGGGGTCCTGTCCCGTCACCCCGCTCCCGCTGCGGAGCTCCGTGGGGTGTGGCAGTCCCTCAGCGTGCCCGTGAATCCCACAGGGAAGCCGTGGGGAGCTGCTGCTGTCGCTGTGCTACAACCCCTCGGCCAATTCCATCGTGGTGAACATCATCAAGGCGCGGAACCTCAAAGCCATGGACATCGGGGGCACGTCAGGTGCGGCCCCGGCCCCCTCCCAGCCCCCTCCCGGCTCCGGCTGGCATTCCCCGATTCCCACGCCGGTGCTGAGCGGCTCTTTTCCCGCCCCGATCCCTACGTGAAGGTGTGGCTGATGTACAAGGACAAGCGGGTGGAGAAGAAGAAGACGGTGGTGATGAAGCGGTGCCTGAACCCCGTCTTCAACGAGTCCTTCGCCTTCGACATCCCCACGGAGCGGCTGCGCGAGACCACCATCGTCATCACCGTCATGGACAAGGACAGGCTGAGCCGCAACGACGTCATCGGCAAGGTGGGACACCGGGGGGACACCGGGGGGACACCAGGGGGACACCGGGGCCGGGTGGGACTTGGGATGAGCGGCTCGAGGGCGACCAGTCCGTCACCTCCCGACGGGGACCCCTCGTGCTCCGGTGCCCAAGTTTTCCCAGGAGAGCAGGAAATGGGGCAGCAGGATCCAGGACCCGGATCTGGCTGGCTCCCAATCCCCTGGGAATTATCCCCTCTGGATTTGCTCCACGTGAAACCCACCCCGCTCGCCGCGGGTGTAACCGTGACAAAAGAGCGTGGTAATATCCGTCCTTACCACTCGATCCCAAAAACCCTCCAGGAAAACGCATCAGCTGGCATAAATCCATCAAACAAAACCCCAGGTCAGCGCCACGGGCTGCCAGGGAGGGGCAGGGGTGGCAGCATTCCCGATGTGGGCACACCCGAGGGCACGGTGCCGGTGGCACGACCGTTCCCAGAGCACAGTTCCATGGACACACAGGCAGCGTCCATGATATTCCATTAAAACCCCGCCACGTGGCACCGGCTCCTCGAGGTGTCAGATGCGGTGGCAGCTGGCACACGCGGTTTTCCATATGGAAAATCCGCGGGTAAAAATAGCCCGGCGCCAGAAAAGCAGGGATGGAGGAGTTTGGGGGTGAAGGCGGCGGCGGCGGGGAGCGGGATGGGGATGGAGGGGCCGGGAGCGGAGCCGCGGATCCAAGGACGCCATTCCCGCAGATTTACCTGTCCTGGAAGAGCGGCCCCGGGGAGGTGAAGCACTGGAAGGACATGATCGCCCGCCCGCGCCAGGCGGTGGCACAGTGGCACCAGCTGAAGGCCTGAGCCCCCCCCGGCACCGCGGGCTCGGGGTCCCCGTTCCCAGCTCCCAACCCCGCTCCCGGCGCGGGACCGGCGGGACAGCGGGACCCTGCGGCAGGAGAGGTTGGGAGCCCCCCCGGCCCCCCCCGCTCTCGCCCCTCCCCGGCGCTGGGGGTCCCGGAGCTGCCGCGGACCCCCGGGCGAGGAGGTGCCAGAAGCCACGATTCCCCCCCTCCACCCCTATTCCCACCGCCGGGCGGGACTTCTGCGAGTGCTTCCGGAGCCTCTCGACCCCTCCCCGGCCTCGCCCCCACCCCCAAATTCCAGGGGGGGGTCAGGCTGCGGGAGCAAGAGGGACCCCCCTCTTCCCCTCCTCTTTCAACTCAATAAAACCTCTCCGAGCGTCAGCGTCCCCCCCCCCCGCCCTTCCGAGCCCCCGCCGCCTCTCCCCGAGCCCCCCGGGGCGGGCGGGGGGCGCGGCGGGGAGGGGGCAGCCCCTTTCCCTGGGATCGGAAGCCATGCCACAGTTCCTTATCCAAAGCGGGCCCGGTGCGCTCTGCCCGCGGCCGCCTTCGATGCTTTACCTCCGTCTCCGGGCTCGGGGGCAGCGGGGGGGCCGCAACCCCCCGGGGGACCCCCCAGTCCCGCCCTCACCCCCTCCCCGGGCGGGCTGCGGCCTCTCGGGGGGATGCCGGGCCCCAGGGAATTCCCTCTCCAGCCGGGATGATCCCGGACCCCCGTGAGCCACTGGGGATAAGGGGTGGAGCGAGCGCTGCCGTGCCCACCCCGGGCAGGCGACATTCCCTGCGCCGGCGGCATTCCAGCCCGGCGGGATCGGCGCCAGCAGCATCCCTGAGTTCCCCCGGGACGCACATCCCCCTCCACCGGGACAGGGACCCCCCAAAACGGGGACGGACCCGACGGGGGTCGGGGAGGAGCGACAGTGGGGTCACCCCGCGTGGCGGACGACGGATCATCCTCAGTCTTCCTGCCCCCCCCGCGGCTCCCCCCGCCCTTCTCCCCTCCCGCGCCCGCGGCGGGGACACCCACACCCCTCCGGGTGCCACCGAGGCCACGTCACCATCGTCACAGCGTGTCCCCCCCCGTGTACAGCCCCTCACGGTGGCACCGGGCACTTGGAGCGGGGGGCACCCCCCGAGGTGCTCCAGGGGATTCTCCGCCGCGGGGAGGGGAACCTGCACCAGAACCCCCCAAAATCCGCGGGATTCCCGGCCGCTCGGTCCCTTTTCCCGAGGGGCGACATCCCTGCCACGGTGGGGACAAGCCAGCTGGGGACACGGTGGCCGCGGGACAAGCCCTCCCGCAGCCCCGATTTAGACGATTTTGGACAATCTGGAGAGAAAGTCATAATTCTGCTACTTCAGTAATAACGACGCTTTTAGGGACATTTGTATTTTTGTCAGATTCTCTCTTTTTTTACCATAAAAGAAGAGATTTACACGCCTGGGGAAGGGGACGGAGCCGAGGGGGCTGTGCCAAGCCCCTCCCTCGCCCCATCCCGCTTTTCCAGGCCGGATTCCTCGTCCGCGGTCGGGCTCCCCGGGGGGGCTTTGTGTGTTCATTTTTAACTCTAGAGCTCGTAGCCGTGATCTTGTTCAGGTATTTCTCTTCTTCATGTGACGGTAACATCCAACTGGTGTGTAAAATACAGCAAAAAAAAAAAAAAAAAAAAACCACGAGCAGAAAAAACAAAAAAAAAAAAAAAAAAAAAAGAGAAAAACAATAAAGGTAAAAAACCCACCCAACTAAAGATCCCAGCGCGGCCCGGCCGAGGAGCGGCGGGAGCGGGGGGTGCCCGGCTGGCGATGCCAGGGAAGGGGCGCGCGGGTCGGGGCGTCTCCTTGGCGGAATCCTATTTTTGGGGAGCGGGGCCCCTCGTTTTCTGGAGGCAGCCCCCGCTCTCAGTAATAAAGGACAGTCAGTAACTGCCAGCGTGACTCGGCTCCGGGATCGCGGGAGCGGGAGGGCGGATCCTTGGGGGCGGATCCCACCCCGAGCGGGGATGGGAAACCTGGATGAGCAGCCCCCCAACACCGAGAGACCCCCAGAACTGGACATCCCCCCAGCACTGAGCATCCCCCTATTCCTGAGCCCCCCCTATTCCTGAGCATCCCCACAGCACTGAGCATCCCCCTATTCCTGAGCATCCCCCTATTCCTGAGCATCCCCCTATTCCTGAGCATTCCCCTATTCCCTGAGCATCCCCCCAGCACTGAGCATCCCCCTATTCCCTGAGCATCCCCCTATTCCCTGAGCATCCCCCCACTCCCTGAGTATCCTCCCCAAGCCCTGAGTATCCCCTCCACTCCCTGATTATCCTCCTCAACATCGAGTATCCCCTCCCAGCATTGAGTATTCTCCCCAAACAGTGAGTATACCCCCAAAACAGTGATATCCCCCTCCAAGCCCTGAGTATTCCCCCAAGCCCTGAGTATCCCCCCAATTCCCTGAGTATCCCCCTGAAAACACTGACTACCACCCCCCACTCACTGATTATCCCTCTCCACATTCCCAAGGTTGGGATAGGCCATGCTGGGGGACCTCCTGGTGAAAGGGACACATTTTGGGGGGCAAAGGAAACAAGAAACACCCTCTGAAGTGTCCCTGCAGAAAGGACAAGGACAGCCCCTATCCCACAGCACCCCGGGGTTTCCAGGATGCCTCTGGCAAATCCTGGGGCTTCCCAGGGCAGTTAACGAGGGCAGTTAATGAGGGTTCACTAAGAGCAGCTCTGGGAAGAAGCTCCAAGGAGGGGTGGCTGGAAGTGGGGGGATCCTGCTGGGATTGGGATCCCCCTGGGGGCTTCGGGGACAACGGTGACACCCCCAGTCGGGTGACAACTTGAGGGGAGACTTCCCATTCCATCCAGGCCTAGGATGGATTCCTTGGGGCTGGAAGTGCTGGGTAGGGACTGGAATGTGGCCCTGGAGGGTGGGAAGAGGCAGGAAACCATATCCCGGGTGGTGCCACAGGGAACGTGTCCGGGAGCCACCGCAAAGGCTCCGGTGACCAATGAATAATTCAGCGAATGCTGCTCTTGAATAAATAAATGAAATTCCAAGCTCTGGGATGGCAGGAGAGCCGTGTCCTCCATGTCCTGGATGAAATCCCTCTGGATGCGCCTTTCGGGCCCTGGGATGCAGGGGACAGGACTGTCTGGGGGCCGCCCACAGCCGGGTGGAGGGGAGGTGGCTGCTCCCACTCCGGCTCTGGCTCCAGCCGAGCCAAACTCAGGAATTCCAGCATTTCAGCATTCCTAAGCTTCTGATGGCCGGGCTCTGCCTGGGCTCCCACACCGGCACCAGGTTTCTTTTTTCACCTGAAACCTTTGAAGGTGGCAAAAAGCGCAGCAATCCCGGCGCTCCTGTTGCTCGGAGCCGCCGCAATTCCCGATCCCGCTCCTTTGTGCTGGCAGCCAGCGGGAGCAGATGGGAATAGCAGCATGATCCCGGCTGTGGAGAGGCCACAAGCCGGCACACGCCGGGCCGGCAGAGGAGGCAGGGATATATATAGGGACAGACGTATGGATGATGCATTCCCAGGAGCCGGGGCTCGCCGGTGCCAACATTCCCAAAATACCTGAGCGGAGCAGGAATCTGTCAGATTCCCACTGACTGCGGCAGCTCCTGGTCCTGGTGTCACCATGATCGTCACAGGATCCAGCTCCTTCCCCAGCCAGGGTGTGGAAAACAGGGCTGGAAAAAAACTGGGTGGTGGGAAAAGACCCCAGGGAGGCAGGATCCCCCCTTTCCCAAGTGTAGGGGCTCCTGGATTTGATCCTGGCCATAAGGACAGGGGGGTGGCATCGAGAGCCACCTGCATCCCAATTCCTGCCAGGCATGGATGGGCTGGTGTGGGTTTACATGGAGCTGGTGGCTTTGGATCTCGCTTAGAGCCGGGGCTTGGAATTCTGAGGGTCTCTGCCCCCCAGGTGATGGATAATTCCTGCTAGTGAGCAGCAATGTCTTCCCAGGAAAAGCAGCAGCACCCCCACATTGATGGCACAAGGGGCTGGGAGCCACCCGGCATTCCAGGACTGTGTTCCTGGGAATTCGTGGGATTCTGGGGTACTCTGCTCCCCAGTCCCACAGTGGGTGGGAAGAGGGATTGACAACCTGGACCTGTCGGGAAGACCTGAATCCAAGAGGGAAGAGCAAGACAAGCTCGTACCAAGCCCTAAATCCCTGGAATTACTGCTGGAAAGGCAGGAGCATCCTCAGGCTGCGCTGCTGGAAGAGGTGGCACCGACAGCTCCTGCACATCCCGCAGCTGAGGATGCTCCACGTGTCCAAAATAGCCACTGTGGAGTGGGAAAGGGGGGGAATCCGGCACTGCCAGCTCCAGAGAGGATGTGGCGGGAGCTCTGGCTGCTTCCCAGCCCCCAAACCCAAACCCCTCGGGATTAAAAGTGGCTGCGCGGTCGGAAACCTCCGGCAACTTCCAGACCTCGGATCCATGAGCTTCCCACCACACCGGAACGGCTTGGAGACAGGTGGAGGGAAACAGGACTCCTCCAACGTCAAAAATAACAGGAGCACCGGGATGTGTTGCCGTGATCGGATCCCAGATAAACCTTTCCTGAGGCTGCTCCCCGTCACCTTCCCCTCACGCCAGGTTTCCTTGGAATTGTGCTCTTTATTGCTTGAGTTTGATCCAAGAGGCACTTGGAGACAGGAAGAGGGAGGATAAAGCAGCAGAGCCTTGGATTTGGTGCCTGTTTTGGAAAGTCTTCTCTTGCCATAGAAGGAAAGCCCTTTCCAGGTTGGAGGCAGGCAGGTGGAATTTCCATCGGCTCCTTCCCAAACCTGATGGAGAAGAGGAGCCCGGTGGGAAATTCTCTTTCCCAGCCTAATTCCAGCAGCAGGATGGGGATTTTGGGGGTGAGAAGGTGTCTGTGCCTTCATTCCCAAACCCTGCAGGATGCCAGGATCCATGTGGAATGGATACAACCGGCACTGCTTTTCCCTGTGCTGCCCACGGAGATGGCAGTAAAGGATTTTTGGAAGTGGCCGGGTGGGAATGTCCCCGTGCTCATGGGGACACTGGGACTGGGCACGAGGGTCTGTGGGGTCACCCCTCGGGGCAGGGGGCTGTATCCCAAATCCAAGACACCCTGGGATGCTCCCAGGTGGGCTCGTGGATCCTGACAGCGACCCGTGAGCCCTGCGGATCCAGGAGGCAGCTCCTCGCTGTCCCAGCTGGGAGATGCCGATCCTCGGACTGTCGGTTTTCCACGTGGAGGCTGTGACCTCCTGCTTTCCCAGCCCGAGCTGGGAATTCCTTGGGAGGCAGGTGGAGGCTCCGCATCCTTCACGTTTCCTCCCGGGAGCCCGTCAGGGCCTCAAATTCCCCCTCCCCGTCCTGCGGCCCATCCTCGGCGGGCACCGGAGCGGCCTCGGCTCCTTCCTCCTCCCCCTCCTCCTGCGGGCTCTGGAGGCTCCGCAGCCGCTCCTGCCGCGCTTCCATGTATTCCTGCGCCCCGTCCCCCACCAGCCGGACCTCATCCCCGACCCGCGGCGGCTGCCGGGCGGGGTTGTGGTCGTAGGAGAGGAGGCGCAGGGCGGCCAGGCCGGTGAGGTCCGGGAAGCGGGAGAGGCGGTTGCGATCCAGGTCGAGGACGCGGATGCCCTCCATGCGCAGCAGCACGGGCGGGAACTCCTGGAAGCGGTTCCCGTAGAGCCAGAGCCCGCGCAGTCCCGCCATGCGGGGCAGCCCCGCGGGGAGCTGGGACAGCCGGTTGTCCCCCAGCTGGAGGCTGCGGAGCTCGGGAAGGTGCAGGAGTGCGCGGGGGAAGCGCGCCAGGAAATTGCCCTCCATCCAGAGGCAGCGCAGGCTCTGGAGCTGGGAGAAGGCGGGAGGCAGCCCCTGGAGCCCGTTGCGGCCCAGGTACAGGTGAGCCAGGCGGGGCAGGTCGCACACGGCCTCGGGCACCTCCATCAGCTCGTTGCCGTCCAGGGCGAGGGTGCGGAGGTGCCGCAGCTCCCCGAGCTCCTCCGGGATCTCCCGCAGCCCCGCGTCGCTCAGGTAGAGCTTCCGCAGCCCCGGCTCGGCCCACAGCGCGGCCGGCACCTGCCGGCCCCGCACCTCCAGCCGCTGCTCGGTGCCGTCGGGGCCCTCGGCGGCCGCCACGGGGGCCCCGCGCCCCGAGGAGCCGCCGCTTCCCATCGCGGAGCGCCGGGAGAGGCCCCGGGAGAGGCCCCGGGAGCGGGACGTGGGCGGGGCGACGCCGTGGCCATGGCAACGCGAGCGGCCAATGGGAGGCCGCGCCGCCCGGGAGGAGGCCGCGCCCACCACGAGGCCACGCCCCCCGGTCCCCATTCATGCCCCGCCCCGCCGCTCCCACGCCCCCCCCGCGCCCCATTCTTGAACTCCCCGTGCCCCGCCCGGCCGCGCCCTGTCCCCAAACAAGGCGGGACCCCCTCGCGCCTCATTCCCGGACCCTGCCCGGCAGCCTGGGGTCAGCATCCCCACCCTGAACTGGGGCCCTAAACTGGGTGTGGGGCCCTGAACTGGGTGGGGTCAGTCCCTGAACTGGAGCCCTAAACTGGGTGTGTGGCCCTAAACTGAGTGTGGGTACCTAAACGGGGGGGTTGAGGGGGTCTGTGAGCTGGGTCAGGACCCCTAAACCGAGTGGGGAGGTCCTGAACTGGGGCCCTAAACTGGGTGTGAGGCCCTAAACTGGGTGGGGGGCCCTCTGGGACCCCCAGGGAGCTGGGGGTGGGGGTCCCTCTGTGATCCCCCACATCCCAAGGAGCCGCCTCTGAGAGCACAGACCCCCTTCCCAGTGCCCTCCCACTGCCCCGTGGCCAGGGAGGACATGGACAAAGCCCCCCCGAGCGCCCCCCGTGCCCACCCTACGGGGTCCTTCCTCCTCCTCATCCTCCCGCTTCCCACCCAGCCCTGCCTGGATTTTCCTGCCGCAAATCAGCTGTGTCATCCCAAATCCAGCTCGGAAAAACGGGCTCGTATCGCCCTCCGGTGGCCGCATGACAAGTGACACCCCCGACCCCTCCGATCCTCCTTCCCGGAAGGATTTGGGACGCAAGAAAAACCCCGAAAACGAGGGGGGGCCGACCGGGATCGTGCGCAGGGTCTTTATTGCTCTCACGGGGATTTGGGAGCTTCCCAAAAAAGCCGAGGCTGGGACTCCCGGGATTTTGGGGGTCACATGAAGGGGTCGTCGTTGTGCCACAGGTTGGTGGGGAGGTTGTTGGTGCTGAATCCGCTGGGACGCGGGACCTGGACACCCTCCACGGATCTGGGAGCCCAGGTGGGACCCTGCGACCACCAGGCTGGGAAATCCGGGAGGGAAGCGCCGGTGAGGGCGGAATTCCCCCCTCCCCGGGGCAGGGGGGCTGCAATCCCACCCCAAACTCACCTGGAGCGACAGGAGCCAGGGGTGAGAGGTTGGTCAGGTGCTGGTTGTGGATCGTGGAGTATCCCTGCGGATCCTGCGGGACGGATGGATGGATGGAGGCGGGTCGGGTGCCTGATCCCGTGGGAAAGGGGGTTGGGACAGGAGGCATTCCCACACCCACCTTCTTGCTGGGTTCCTGTGGTCCCACTCGCAGTTCCAGGGGGGCGAACGGGGGGTGGTGGCCCATGGCGGGCAAACCCTGCGCGGGAACGGCGGGATGAGGAGGGGACACGGACACGGGGATGGGATCCCGCTCACCCCGCTGCTGCTTCCCGCCCGGGAGCACCGGGATACAGCGTCCCCTCCCCACGGGGGTCTGGCCACCCCCTGCCCTCGCTCACGTGGCGGTTCTGGGGGCAGCAGGGATCCAGGGCGGGAACGCCGGGCTCCGCAGGCAGACAGCAGGCGTCCGTCGGGGGGCAGCCCGACGACAGATCCGGCTTCCACTGGGGGAGATCTGCGGGAGCACACGGAGCAGGCGCGTTCCCACTGCTCCCAGCACCGTCCCCAGCCCTGCCATCACCTGGGTACGCCTGTGCCCCCGTGTCTGGGGGTGGGGGACGCAGGGCAGGGGGGCTCCAACAATCCCAGAACCTCAGATTCGGTTCCAGGACTGACACCACCAAAATCCCCAGAGCTGGAGTTGGCCCCGGGACCACCAACATCCCTGAAACCTCCTGGGGATGGAGCCGGGCCTGGAACTACCAATATCCCAAACCCTTCCTGGGGATGGAGCCGGGCCTGGAACCACCAATATCCCAAAACCTTCCTGGGGATGGAGCCGGGCCTGGAACCACCAATATCCCAAGCCCTTCCTGGGGATGGAGCTGGGCCTGGAACCACCAGTATCCCAAACCCTTTCTGGGGATGGAGCCAGGCCTGGAACCACCAGTATCCCAAACCTTTCCTGGGGATGGAGCTGGGCCTGGAACCACCAATATCCCAAAACCTTCCTGGGGATGGAGCCGGGCCTGGAACCACCAGGACCCCAAACTCTGGTGTGGACAGAGCTTTCCCTGGGGATCCCAAAATCTTCCCGGGGATGAGGCTTTCCCTAGGACCCCAAAATCTTCCTGGGGATCCCAAAATCTTCCCAGGGATGAAGCTTTCCCTGGGATCCCAATATGACAAACCCTCCTGGGGATGGAGCTGGGCCTGGAACCACCAGGCCCCCAAACTCTGGTGTGGATAGAGTTTTCCCTGGGATCCCAACACCCCAAAATCTTCTTGGGAACAGAGCTTTCCCTGGGGTCCCACCACCCCAAACCCTCCCAGGGAGCTTTTCCTGGATCCCCCCATCCCAAATCCATACCTGGCTGGGCAGGGCTGGTGCAGCCGCTCTTGGCGCTGGATCCCCTGGATAACTTCGGAGGCTTCAGCCCCTCATACCGGATCCGGGACAGGGAAAACTCGGGGGGATACGAACACTCCGGCTCCTCCACGCACTGGGGCAGGATCCTCTGGAACTGCGGGCGCCCGAAGGGCCTGAAATCCTCGGAGGTGGCGGACATGGACACGAAGGGGTCCGGGCTGCGGCGGGAACGGCCGTGACGGAGCGATCCCAACATGTCCCCCCCCAGACTCGTCCCGGAGCGGGGACCTACCACTCGGGGCGCGGGGTGACCAGGGACGAGAGGGCCGAGTAGTTGTTGGTGACGTATCCGGATCCGGAATGGACCCCCAGGAGCGGGTGCACGGACGCCTGGTCGGGGGGTTTGACTCCCAAAACACGCCCCTCGAACTTGTGGGACAATCCCGGGGGTCTCTTCCCAAAGGACACCTCGTAGGTGGTGACGTAGAGGCTCAGCAGGTCGGAGCGGTCCCCGCCGTGCACCCTCACCAGCGGGAATCCCGTGCCCAAGCCCCCGGCGGGGGAATCCTGCGGCAGGGAAGGCATCCTGGCACCGGGATAACCCCAGGGAAGGGCCCTACGCCATGGCTGGAGGTGCTGGCAGCGGCTCCCGGCCTTCCCGGCCGGCCGAGAGGGTGTGGAATGTTGCCGCGGAATGCGACTCGGTCTCCTGGCAACCGCGACGACGGGACTCCGGGGAGTCCCGGAGCACCGGGAACGTGGAGCTTGGAGCACTTCGGGAGGGGGGTACAGCCCTTCCGGGTGTGGGGTCACCTCCCTGGGAGCCGGGGAAAGGGGGGCAGGTGGGAATTAGGGATATCAGTGGGATGGGACGTGCCAGAGCGAGGTGGGAATGTCCCCAAGGACCGGACCCTGAGGTCACAATGTAGGGAAGCAGGGCCAGCAGCCCCGGCTTTATTCAGCATTCCAGCATTCCACAGTGTCCAGAGGCTGCCGGGAGAGGAGGAGAACCACAGGGAAGGCGGCAGCGATTCCACAGATCCCCCTGTCCCTGGAGGGGTCAGGGTGGGGGCTCAAACAGGTACTCCAGGTCCGGCTGCCGCAGCCGCTGCTCCCTGTTCCTGTTCTTGGCGAATTCCCGCAGCATGTCCAGCACGTCGTGCTCGAATTCCGCTGGAGCCGGCTTGGCTTCTGCAGGAAAACAGGGAAAAATCAGCTCCGAGTTGTCCCGAGGCACCACAGGGGCCCACCCCGGTATCCCAGTGGCCCATCCTGAAGTCCAGGGACCCATCCCAGTCTCCCAGTGACCCATCCCAGTGTCCAGGTGACCCATCCTGGTGTCCCACTGACCCATCCTGGTCTCCCAGTGACCCATCCCCATCTTCCAGGGGCCCATCCCAGTGTTCCAGTGACCCATTTCCATCCCCAAAGGGTCCATCCCAGGGTCCTGGGGGTCCATCCCAGTGTTCTGGGATGCCCATCCTGGTCTTCCAGGGGCCCATCCTGGTGTTCCAGTGACCCATCTCCATCTCCAAGGGGTCCATCCCCGTGTCCTGGGGACCCATCCTGATCTCCCAGGGCCCATCCCGGCGTCCCAAGGGGTGTCCCCACGCACCAGTTGCCCAGTAATAGATGTCCCAGTCGTTACTGGGCTCGTTGATGAGCCGGTCGTAGCGGTTCAGCTGCTCCTCGCTCATCCTGCCCAAGTTTTCCTTGGCAAAGAGGCTGGAAAAGGGATGGATATAGGTGGGAGATGGGAGAAGAGGTCCCCACGCATCCCAGGATTTACACACATCCTCCAAAGGATTTTGGCTCTGCTCCATCCACCCCGCTGGATCCTGAACCACCCTTGGGATGGTTTATCCCATGGATTTTGGCTGTGCAGTCCCTCACTAAGCCCTTCCCGCAACTCTCGGGGCTCTTCCCCGTTAATGCCCCCCCGGGACACGCCTGGAGCCGATCCCACCTGAGCAGGATGCAGTTTTCCAGCATCCCCCTTTTCCTGCTCTCGTAGAGCAGCCGGGCCCTCTTGGTGTCCAGCGGCTCCTCGGGACGCTCCTGCCAGGGGGGCAGCGGGATCTCCAGCACGTCCTTCCCGGAATCCGAGGGGGAATCCCCGCGGTATCCACGCCAGGGGATCACTGGCACCGCCAGCTGCCGGCGCAGGGAGCGGAGCTGGGAACAGGGAATGCCCAGGGATGTCAGGGCTGGGACCCCCCCAAATCCTGCAGGACACGATTCCCAATCCCAAACCACGCCCAGACTCTGCTGCTCCCAAACTCCCCCCGGGGCAGCCACATCCCATAACACCTTCTCAGATCCTGTTGCCCCCAGTCCCTTGTCCCAAAAGTCTCCCAAATCCCCTTTTCCCCCCAGACTCCCCTTTTCCCACTCTTCTCCCACCTTCCCTCCCAGACCCTCCTTTCCTTCTCTTTCCCTTTTTTCCCCCTTTCCCACTTTTCCCCCTTCTCCTCCAAATCCCTATCCTCTCCTTTTCCCCCTTCTCCTTCCCTCCTTTTCCCCCTTCTCCCCCCGCTTTCCACCTTCCCTTTTTCCTCCTTTACACCCCATTCCCCCCGTTTCCCCTTCTTTCCCCCCTTCCCTTCCTTTTGTCCCCCTTTCCCCCCACTTCCTCTTTTCTCCGCTTTTCCCTTCCCTTGCCCCCTCCTTTTTTCCCCCCTTCCCCCCAAATCCTCTTTTCCTCTCCTTTTCCCCCTTTCCCTTTCTCCCTTCTTGCCCTGTTACGCCCCTTTTCCCCTTTCCCCCCCCATCCTTTCCTCCTCCTTTCTTCGCCTCTTTCCCTCTCCCTCCCCTTTTCCCCTTTTCCGTTCCCTTTCCCTGCCCTTTTTCCCACGCCTTTCCCCTCTTTCCCCCCTGTTTTCCCTCCCCTCTCCCCCCCGTTGCCCCCACCCTGGCCGCCGCCATCTTGCCCATGGCCGCTCTGGCCCCGCCCCCCGACTCTATGCGCCTGGGGGTGTGTGGGCGGGGCTTTACCGGAAGTGGGCGTGTCCTGCGCAGGAAGTGGGCGGGGCGCGGCGGCGCTGGCGGTGAGCGCGGGCGGCGCGCGCGGGGCCGGGAACGGGGGGTCGGGGGGGGCCAAGAGGGGGCGGGCGGGAGGTCGCGACCTATCGCGACATATCGCGACTTGCCGCCCCTTCCCATCGCATCCTCCCTTCCCGAACTCCCCCCCTGGATCGGGCTCCGCCGCTCCGCGGGGCCGCGTATGGCGGGGAAGGGCCGGGGGGCCGGCGGGGGGGGGGGGGCTAGGTGAGGCGTTGGGATTGGGGGGGGGGAAAACGGGGAATTTGGGGAAAAAAGGGTTTGGGGGGGGAAAGGGGGATTTGGGGACAGAGGGGATTTGGGGGAAAAACAGGGAATTTGGGGAGACAGAGAGAATTTGAGGGGAAGAAAGAATTTAGGGGGTAAGAGGGGATTTGGAGGGGAGAGGGGATTGGGGGGGAAACAGGGAATTTGGAGGGACGGGGGTTTGGGGGACAGAGGGAATTTGGGGGGCACGGGGGATTTGGGGGAAGAGGAGTTTCAGGGCAACACAGGGATTTGGGGTGAAGAGGGGATTTGGGGTGAAAGAAGGAATTTGAGGGGAACACCAGGATTTGGGGGGAAGAGGGAATTTAGGGGGAAATGGGAATTTGAAGGAGACACAGGGTTTTGGGGGCATGGGATCTAGGGGGGAAAGAGGGTTTGGAGGCACAGAGGGAATTGGGGGGAAAAAGGAATTTGAGGGGTACACAGGGATTTGGGGGGAACATGGGATTTGGGGGGAAAAGGGAATGGGGGAGTAAGAGGGGATTTGAGGGCAAAGTGGGGATTTGAGGGGGACACGGGGGTTTGAGGGACAGAGGGGATTTAAGGGGGAAGAGTTTGGGGAGACAGGGATTTGGTGGGAAAAGGGGCTTTGGGGTGATACAGGGCTTTGGGGGAAAAGGTGGAATTTTGGGGGCAGAAGGGATTTAGAGGAGAAACAGGGAATTTGTGGGGGCACATCCGACACATTCCCAAGGCCTCGCTGACTCACCCCCCCCCAACCCTCCCTTTTCCCAGAGCACCTTCCGTGTCCCGGCTCCGTCCCGGTCCCAGCCCGGGCTCCCGCTCTTCCCGCCTCTGGAAATATGTCCGAGGGAGTGGATCTGATTGACATCTACGCCGACGAGGAATTCACCCAGGTGAGGAATTCACCCAGGTGAGGGCCGGGATCGGGATCCACCCCCTCCCCAGGGGCCTCCAGCTCGGCCAAGGTGTGCCTGGGAAAGGGCTGGGATCGTTCCCGAATCCCAGTGGCCGGGGTTAAAGGGTTTGGGATTTGGGATTTAGCTGCACCCTGGAAAAATGAGGAATCCTGGCTGGGAGAGGCACTTCCAGGGAATTACACAGTGAAGGGATGCAGAGGGATGAATCCGTGGGATCGCTCGTGGGAAGATATCCCTGTGCCACCTGTCCCATCCCAGGGATGTCTGGGATTCACAGGAGGGAATGGGTGCTGGAGAAGCAGATCTTAGGGAATTTTTGGATCTGGGAGAGCCAAGTGTGAAGAGAGAGGGTGGAAGATGGAAAGCTGCCATGGAAAACCTGTGGAGGGAAGCTGGCAAAAGGAAAAGCCGCAGGAAGTGGAAGGAAAACAGCTGGATTAAGGAATCACCGTGGAGGGAGGAATTCCTGGGAGGTCCTGGAGGGATAAAGAGGAGCTGGGAAGGAAGGAATTCCCGGGAGCTCCTGGATGGATGAAGAGGAGCTTGTTCTGCTTATTGGGTGAGAGTATCCCTGGATTAGACCTTCGGGAAAACCAGGAAACCGTGTCCATGACCTTGGAGCCAAGGGGGCTTCCAGGTGCTTTCCAGCCTCCTGGGAAGAAGCAGGAGTTGCCAAAATAATGGGAATGCCACCAAAAAAAAGGGAGTTGTCTGTGCTGCCTGGAGTTTCCAACTTCCTAGCACCTCTCCAGCATCATTCCTGGAAAACTCCTGGAGTAAACCAGATTCCCAGTGTATTAAACTACCTTGCTCTGGGACCGAACGGCTCCGGCTTAGGAATGTCCTCAGGTTTTGTGTTTTTATGGAATTTGCATCAGGAAAAAAGGTGTGCCTGGAGTTGGGAGAGCTGGAAAACTGCAGGAATGAGGGTGGACAGTGGAAAAGTGGGAGAATCCATGGCTGGAGTTGACATGGGAACATCTTCTGAGGAGCTTGGAGGGTCTGGGGTGGTTTTAGTGAAAGCTTTGGGATCTCTGGGAATAAGGAAGTGAAATGGGTGGGAGCAGGATTGGAGTAAGCTGGAACACACAGCGTGGAAGGATTTAACTGGGAATTTGGGGAATAATACACCAAAGGTCCTTGACTGGCCAAGAGGATCCTCAAAGCTGGAATGATGATCCAGGCCAACAGCTCCAGCACCTCGCTCCCTTTGGGACGTGTGGGAGCAGGAAACCAGGAAACCCGGAGTTAATCCATGGCAGGATCAAAGCTGTGGTGTCCCTATGGCATTCCAGGCATTCCAGTGTAATTCCAAATCCCACAGCATGTGCTAATTCCCACTAACAGTGCCCACAGGGCTTCATCCCTGTGCACCTGGATTGGGATCCCTAAAAACTCCCAAGCTGAGGCATCCTCCAAGTATCCTCAGGGATTCCAAGTGATTCCTCCTCCTTCCTATTTTTGCTCTCCGTTTTCCGAAACTTCCAGGCAGGAATCTCCCAGCCCTGGGCCGTATCCAAAGGCTCCTGGTGGAGGTAGGAACGTGGGAGTCGGAATAACCAAACACTTGGGCTTTTTTGGGAATGAGCACAAAACTCCAGCTCCCTTTTCAGATCCTGATTTTTGTCAACTCTGTGGGAACAGCCGGATGCAAAGGTTCAGGAAGAGGGAAAACGGTTGGATTTTGGGATTTCCATGATCCTCGTGCTGAGGATCCTTCCCTTTCTTGCTCCTAAGGGGATGTTTGCAATTCCCTGACTCTCAGAGCGTGGATTTATCCACCTCACACCATCTCCAATGGAAAACATTATCCAAAGTGCCTGGAATTCAAAATGTGGGAAGAGAACCTCTGGTTTTTATGGGACACCAGCCCTGTGCCTCACTCCCATGGGATGGATCCTCCTGGAGGGATCGAGGGGGTGTGCAGCTCCCAAGCTGGAATTCTGGGAAGCATGAGCTGCCAAGGAGGGAGAGGCTCATCCCTGGAGGGCGCTTGGTTTTTCCAAAGTGGGAATTTCTTCCTGGTGGTTTCCAGGAGCAGCAGCTTGGGTCTTGTCCTGTTTGGGAAAGCTGAGATCCCAGTGGGCTGGTCCTTGGAATGTGCTAGAGCCTAGTGGGGGTTTTGGGATATTGGGAAGAAATTCTTCCCTGTGAGGGCGGTGAGGCCCTGGAATTGATTTTCCAGGGAAGCCTTGGCTGCCCCATCCCTGGAAGTGTCCGAGGCCAGGTTGGAAAAGGGCTTGGAGCAACCTGGGCTGGTGGAAGGTGGATCAGATGGTCCTTAAAGTCCCTTCCCACCCAAACCATTCCAGGATTCCGTGATTCTGACTCTAACCTCTGCTTCAGTCCCAAAATCCAAGTGGCCTCGCCTCCATATCCCCCAGGATTTACATGTGTCCTTCCCAAAGGATTTAAGCTCAGCCATCCCTGGCAGCTCCCATTAGGGGAAGGTGGGAGGTAGGATGGGAATAGGGGTGGGAATGGATGATCCTTAAGGATCCTGCTCCCTTCCCACCCGAACCGTTCCAGGATTCCATGGAAGCAGAGCCCATTTTTTCGGGATTGCCCAGGCGAGGGACGGCCCCGATTCCCAACCCGCGCACAGCCCCAAACCGAGCGACCGGGGCGGGAATTCCGCTCGGGAACGGGGACGGCCGGTTCGGGGACGGCACGGGGAGGCTTCCCGAGCCCTTTTCCCAAAGCGGGACCTGGCGGCGCTCTCCCGGCAGGACCCGGAGTTCAGTAATGCTGACCAGATGGACCTGTACGACGACGTGCTGACGGCCAGCTCCCAGCCCCAGGACAAGCGCTCCGGCGGCTCGGAAGCACCTCCGGAGATGCACCCGGAGCCGTCCCCCAAGGCCCACAGCAAACCCCCGGCCATCCTCTACACCTACAGCGGGCTCCGCAACAAGAGGGCCGCCGTCTACGTCGGGAGCTTCTCCTGGGTGAGCCCTCCCGGGGGATTTGGGAACTCGTCGGGATCCTTTGGGGGTGTTTGGGGCTGGTTCTGGGGGGTTCCGGGCTCTTCTGCTGGGAGCTGCTCCTCCTCAATCCACGCTGTCCCAACCCGGGCTGTGAGCTGGGCTTGGGATACTCAGGGAAAAGGGATTTGTATCCCTGAGAGCTCCAAAGAAACCCCTGAGGGGCTACCAGGCTCTTTTGGGGGTGTTTGGGGAGCATTCTGGGTTCTTTTGGGAGCTGCTGCTCCTCCTCAATCCATCCTGGTGTCCCAGCCTGGGTTGTGAGCTGGGCTTGCCCTTGTGATCCTCAAGGAAAAGGGATTTGTATCCCTGAGAGATCCAAAGAAACCCCCAAGGAGCTTCAGAGAAACCCCTGAGGGGCTGCCAGGCCCCTCTGGGGAGACTAAAGGGTTCTTTTGTGGGGGTTTTGGGCTCTTTTCAGGAGGTTCTGGGATCTTTGGAGGGGCTGCTCCTCCTCAGTCCACACTGTCCCGGTATCCCAGCCTGGGTCGTGAGCTGGGCTTGGCCTTGTGATCCTCAGGAAAAAGGGATTTGTGTCCCTGAGGGCTCCAAAGAAACCCCTGAGGGGCTGCCGGGCTCTTTTGAGGGGATTGAAGGGCTCTTTTTAGGGGATTTGGGGCTCTTTTGGGGGGGTTCTGGGTTCTTTTGGGAGCTGCTCCTCTTCAGTCCACACTGTTCCAGTATCCCATCTTGGGTTGTGAGCTGGGCTCGGCCTTGGGATCCTCAGGGAAAAGGGATTTGTATCCCTGAGGGCTTCAAGGAAACCCATGACGGGCTGCAGGGCTTTTTGGGGTGGGTTTCTCAGCTCTTTGGGGGGGTTCCAGGGTTTCTTAGGGGAGTTCTGGGATATTTGGAAAGGCAGCTCCTCCTCAATCCGCACCATCCTGGCATTCCAGGCTGGGTTGTGAGCTGGGCTTGGCCTTGGGATCCTCAGGAAAAAGGGATTTGCATCCCTGAGGGGCTTCTGAGCACTTTGGGGTGGGTGCCCACCCTGGTGCCCCTCCATGGGCGTGACCTTTGGGAGCTGCTCCCAAATCCCCTTTTCCCACAGGGAGAGTTTTGGGAAGGCTCCGTCTTGCCCAGAGAACAGGGAGACCTCTGATATCCATTCCCAGAGCTTTGTCCGGAGCTGAGAGGATTTGAATCCCTCCCTGAGGGACTTGGGGGGTGACATTCCTGAGGCGGGTGGGGGACACTGGGGACGGACAGACATCCCATGCCCTGTTCCCTCAGTGGACGACGGACCAGCAGCTGATCCAGACCATCCGCTCCGTCGGAGTCTACGACGTGGTGGAGCTGAAATTCGCGGAAAACCGAGCCAATGGCCAATCCAAGGGGTGAGAGCCGACAGGATTGGGGTGGGAATGGGGCAGCCGGCACGGCCCTGGTTTTGGGGAGGGGTGAGGGTGCTTTTCCTGGCTGGCACGGGGGATGCACCCGGAGCCGGGATGGCGAAGCTGAGACTCCCAAAGTGAACGGAAAAGGGAGGAGGGGGTGTGGAACACCGGGATGGGATCAGGAACGGGGGGCCTGCGTGGAGGGTGGGATTTGGGAAGGGGGTCCCTCACCTGGAGCAGGGGGTGAACCTCCCCGTGTCCCGCGCAGGTACGCGGAGGTGGTGGTGGCCTCCGAGAACTCGGTGCACAAACTGCTGGAGCTGCTTCCCGGGAAGATCCTGAACGGAGACAAGGTGGAGGTGAGGTTGGCCACCCGGCAGAACCTGTCCCAGTTCGAGGCCCAGGCTCGGAAACGTGAGTGCGGCGTCGGGACGACGCGGGCGGGGGGATCCACGGCACACAGAGCCCCCCAAACTCCCCCCCGGATCAGCTGCCAGGCCCAGCCCCGCGAGCCCTCGGCACGGGGGGAAAAGCAGGAGTGCGTGGGGGTTGTTTTTCCCGTTCCTGAGCCGGATTAGCTCCTGACCCGAGTCTTTATGATCCCCTTTTAGGTGCTCCCACACTGCGAAGATCCCTCGTAGCCTCCTCCTCCTCCTCTCCAAACTGAATGGGCTTAAGCTCTTCAGGCTCTGGGCATAGCTAAGACCCTCCATATCTATTAGTAGCTCCAATCTGGATCTGCTCCAGAGTTTTTCCATCCCTGCGGAGGTAAGGTGCCCAACACTGGAGGAATATTCCAGCTGGGACCTGGCCGTATGGCGATAGGTGGTCCTGGCCTCACTCCGCAGCGATGCGACGGGATCCGCAGGGATTGTCCTGGCAGGAGTGTCCAAGGAGGTCTTTGTAGGTCCCATGGCATGTTTGGTGCAAGGAAAACCCCCCTTCCCGGCCTCCGCCCCTGGAGTTTTGGTGGAGCAGGGAGCGATCTCTGAGAGTTCCGGGTGCCCTCGGGGTGCGGCGGAGCTTCCATGGATCCTTTGGGAGCCGTGGCTCCCTCAAACCCCTCCTTTCTCATCCTCAAAGCCTCTTTGAACAGAGAAAGGTTTCTTGTCCCTCTTGGAATGCCGAGTTTTCCTTCCTCTGGCAGCGGCTCCACTGCTGTTAGTTCTGTCCCCTCCTTGTGCTCCTCCACGCTTGGGCCTTCCCAAATCCACGTGTGGCTCAGGCTCTCCGGGTCTTTGGGGATCTCCCCCTGCTCCTTGTGGCTTTTGGCTCCTGTCCCTGCATCCTCCCTGTCCCTCAGGGCACTGTGCGGGTTCTTGGAGAGCTCTTGGAAAAACCCATGGAAGCGGAGGCTGCATTTGGCCAGCTGGATCTTTTCCCTGGGCACCTCCAGCTCTCCGGGGGTGGGAGGAAGAGGAGGAGCAGGAGCTCTCCGAGACCTGAAGACCCTCCAGCTGGAATTCACAGCTCTTCCCCCCCCTCCGTCCCGATTCCAGGTGTGCCGCCGCGGGCCCACTCCCGGGATTCCGTGGACGCCGTGGACGGCCGGGCGACGCCGACGGACAGCGCGCTGCCCCCTTCCCGCATGGAAAAGCCCCCCTCGGTCCTGCCCTTCTTCAGCCGCCCCCCCGCGCTGCCCCTCATGGGGCTGCCCCCCCCGCCCATGCCCCCCCCGCCCCCCCTGTCCTCCGCCTTCGGGGTCCCTCCTCCTCCTCCCGGAATTCCCTACCAGCACCTCCTGCCCCCGCCGCCCCGGCTGCCCCCTCCCCTGGCCGTGCCCCCTCCGGGGGCCGTTCCCCCCGCCCTGCACCTCAATCCCGCCTTCTTCCCGCCTCCCACCGCCGCGCTGGGACCCCCCCCGGATACCTACGGCAAGGCCATGGCTCCCTACAACCACAGCAGGTGAGCCGGGCGGGGGGAATAGGGGCGGGAAGGGAGGGTGGGATGCTCCCGGAGGCTTTGGGTGCCCCGCTAATCCCAGAATTCCAATTCCAGCAGCCGGGAGCTGGGCCCGCTGCCCCCGGCCGTGAGCGAGGGGGAGTTTGAGGAGATCATGAACCGCAACCGCGCCATTTCCAGCAGCGCCATTTCCAAGGCCGTGTCCGGCGCCAGCGCAGGTAATTCCCGCCTCCTTCCCAAACCCCGTCCTGGGATGGATTCCCGCTCCTGACCCCTGTGCTCCCGGCTTTCCCAGGCGACTACAGCAACGCCATCGAGACGCTGCTCACGGCCATCGCCGTCATCAAACAGTCGCGCGTGGCCGGGGACGAGCGGTGCCGCGTCCTGCTCTCCTCCCTCAAGGATTGCCTGCATGGAATAGAGGCCAAATCCTACAGCAGCAGCTCCAGCAGCAGCTCCAGGTATCCCTGTGGGTCCCACCTAACCGGATGCTGCCCCTGGATCCGAAGATCCAGCCCGGCGGGGCCCGGGGTGAGTGACTAAAAGGTGCCTCTTTGTCTTCTCCCAAGGAAAAGGCACCGATCCCGGGAGCGCTCGCCCAGCCGGTCCCGCGAGAGCAGCCGGAGGCACCGGGATCTGCTGCACGGCGACGAGCGGCACGAGGATTATTTCCCAGAGCGGAGCCGGGAGCACGAGCGGCACCGGGACAGGGACAGAGACAGGGACCGGCACCACTGAGGCAGGTCGGGGGCCCGGGAGCCCCGGGGCAGGAGGGACCGGGGGGCTCTGACCTCACCCCCCCTTCTCTCCCCGCAGGAATTCCGCAGGAAGTGGTTTTTAATGGACTCGTATCTCCTCACCTCGACACACCCCGAGGCCGCTCCGCCCCATCCCGGCCCCTTCCCAGCCACTCCCAGCCCTCTCCCAGCACCTCGTGGCCTTGGGAATCCCCCCCACCTGCTGCTGCTGCTGCTTCCCGGGGCCATCCCGCTCCGCTCCGTGGACACTCGGACCCAAAGAGAAATGGTGCTTTTATTCCATGGAGGGAGGTTTGTGAGCCCTTCCCAATCCAGGGAGGGGGGGGAACGGAGGGGACGGAGCCCTCCCGATCCCGGGATCAGGAGCCACGTGCCGGCCTCTGGATCGCCTGGGGACACTCCTGTCCCCATCGCCCCGGCGGGACACTGGGCCACTCTCCTCCTTTTCCACCCTCGCCCTCCAGGAGTTGGGAAAAGAGGGGCTGGAGCTGGGCCGGGGGTCACCCCCTTCTCTATCCCGACATTCCCCACAGCAGCATTCCCACCTGAACGGCAGCTCCGGCCTCTCCCGCGGCACCTTCCTTGTTTTAGAGGAAGCGGAGGAGGCAGGGCAGGCTGCGATTCCCTCGGGTCCCCTCCTGATCCCTCGGGATCCCCGAGCAGGAGAGGGAGAGCCCGGGAGGGTTGGGATGAGCCGGGACACACCGGTGACTTCCAGGGCTGGAATTGCCCCCGGAGCTATTCCCAGGCGGGAAAACCCAGGCTCTGGGAAGTCTTTTTAAGTTGAACTCTCCCCAAAATCAGGAATAACACCCCCCCTCCCGATTTCCCAAGCCCCACGAGGTGGGAGCGCTCGGCAGGAGAGGTCCGGGTTTTTTTTACTTAAACGCCACAGATTTTTAGTTTCTTTCCAAATAGTGGAGGGGGGGAAAAAAATTCCCTCAAAATTGCAGAGCAAATCCCTGGAAGCCCCAGCGAGGAGCTGCCCCCTCCTGCTCGCAGTGATTAGATTTGTCTTTGCATAGGTTGAAAAACAATTGTGTAATAAACTCGATGACGTTGTCAAGTCTTTTACACGGCACTCCCGTCACGTTCCTGCCGTGGGATTTGGGAAGGGGAGGGATCTGGGGAGCCTTCAGTGCCTGTTTTGCCTCACATCATCCTCTGAGGAGCTCCCATGTTTCCCAAGGCAGCCCGGAGCGCTCCCGCATTCCCAGGCACCAGGTAAAAATAAATATTTATTGGAAAATAGCGAACTATTCCGGAAGGGTGTAGAAAAAATAAGGATTCTTCGTACCTTGAGCTGGCACAAACTCGGAGGGGGTGAGTCCGGGCGGGAGCAGGTCCCTGGCATGTGCTGCGGGTGAGGTGGGAAGCGGGAAAAGCAGGAGGGATGTGTCCAGGTGGGAGTGGGAAAGGTGGGAGGGATGAGTCCAAGTGTAGAAGTGGGAAAAGCGGAAAGGGTGTGTCCAGGTGGGAGTGGGAGAAGCAGGAGGGAGGATTTGTCCAGACGGGAGCAGAAGAGGTGGGAATGACGAGTCCAGGTAGGAGCAGGAGAGGTGGGAGGGATGAGTCCAGGTGAAACGAGGAGTGGAAGAAAGTGGGATCCCTCCCTTTCCCAGGGCTGGGAAGTGGAGCTGGCACCGGTCACACTTCCCTGTGTCCCTGGGCCGTGTCCCCGGTGTGGCCTCAGTAGGGATCCGTGCTACGGAGAAGGACAAAGGGAGGGATGTGTCGGCACCAAACCAACCTGGAAACTCCCACGGCGCGTCCCCAGTCCCGGGATGCGGCACCTGGAGAAGGAGAGCAGCGCCAGGAGGCCCAGGAGCAGCTCGAGGCCGTAGAAGAGGAGCAGGATGGCGCTCAGGAAGGATTCCAGGCGCAGGGAATAGGTCTGGAGCAGCAGGTAGTACCCGGCCAGCGCCGCCGCCGGCACCGTGAGCGCCAGGCTGAGCGACAGCGGCACCTTCCGCCGGCACAGGTTCCCCTTGGAGCCTGCGGGATACACGGGATCAGGGACACCTTCCACTGCTCCAGGTTGCTCCAACCCGGCTGTGAGAACTTCCAGGGATGGGGCAGCCACAGCTTCCCCGGGAAATCCGTTCCAGTGTCTCGCCGTCCTCACAGGGCAGAATTTCTTCCCAATATCCGATTTAAACTAGCACATGGAATCCTGGAATGCTTCGGGTTGGAAAGGACCTTATATTCCATCTCGTTCCCACCCCCTTCCGTGGGCAGGGACGCTTTCCACCAGCCCAGGTTGCTCCAAGCCCCGTGCAGCCTGTCCTGGAACATCCGGGGCTGGATTTCGGGGTTATCCCAGGACTCTGCACTCCCCATGGAGCCTCTGGAATTTTGGGGGAGGGAACTCACCGAAGAAGATCCGCGTGGCCTCAGTGCCGAGGTAGAGGAGGAGCAGCACCACGTCCAGCACCAGGTTGGAGACGGGATAGGGCAGGAGCAGCACTGCGGGAAGAGCCGCGCGGGAATCACATCCCTGCCCGTCCCGGCGGGCTCGGGAAGGGGGCTGGAGCGGGGGGCTCACCCTTGTACACGAACACGAACGCCTCCAGGAGGAAATAAGTGGCGCTGTACCAGCCGTTGAGGAAAAGCAGGATCTGCAGCGGCGCCGAGGAGCGATGGCGGCCTGAGGGGACACGGGGCGGTCGTGAGGGAGGGGCGCGGGGGGGGCGGTCCGCGAGCCCTGCAGCGCCTTGGCCGCCCCCCGGCCCCGCTCCCAGCCCCACTCCCATCCCCGGTTCCCCCCAGGATCCCCCGATATCCCGTTTTTCCCGCCCCGGTCCCGCTCCCACCCCTGGGCGCCATCTTCCATCTCCATGGGAACCGCCGCCGCCGCGCCCGCCCGCCCGCCAAGGGGCGCTGAGCGCACGGCCAGGGCCGCTCTACCCGCCCCTCTCGACGGTCACGCCGCCGCTCTACCCGCGCCTCTCTATGGTACGAGGACTAACAGGGCGGGCCGTGGGTTCGAGACCCCCGCCCTCTCAAATCCTACGATCCATTGGGATGAGAATCCCACGCCGCAAAAGTGGGAATAACCCCGTCTGGTGGCTGCAAGTGCAGCACTGACCGGGTTCCAGTGAAGGTCAGGCTGTGGGAATGGCAGATGTGACACTGGGGGGTCCAAGGGAGGGAGAAACACCCGGGAGCCGCTGAAAAACACATCCCATTTATTCCTTTACAGTTCCCAAAAATATTCCAGCCCCAACCGAGGCCGTGGTGCCAGGATGGACATTCCTGCAGGGACACCTCACAAGCCTCCCACTGACTCCCAGCATCCAGGAGGAAGAAGAGGAAGGACAAGGCGGGACTGAAGCTCCAGGGGATTCCAGGGATCCATCAGCCACGGAAGTGGGCAAATTCCTGGCGGAGCCAGAGGGAATCCTGGTAGAAGAGGGGGTCTCCCAGGTGCACGGCTGTCCGCTTGTAGAAGTAGCAGTAGAGCACGGCCGCTGCGGGAATTCGAGGGGATTCGGTGACTGGGATTTCGGATTTGGGTCCAAGGGGTGTGGGATCCCCCTCAGCCCCGATCCCAGGAGTTCTTACCCAGCCTCTGGAAAACGAAGAGGGTCTGGAGGCCTTCGGTCCAGATGAAGCGGCTGGAGTCGCGCCAGCGCAGGTTCTGAGGGGACGGAAAACCGGGAATAACCTCTGGAGCAGTTTGGGAGGGTCCCCTTCCCAAAGAGTCTGAGGGTGATGGACAGCTGAGAATAACCCCTGGAACAGTTTGGGAGGGTCCCCTTCCCAAAGAGTCCGAGGGGGACAGAGAACTGGGAATAACCCCCACAGCAGTTCGGGGCAGCCCCCATTCCAGAGACTCTGAAGGGGCCGGAGGGATGGGAACAAACCCCGGAGAAAGTTTGGGGGAGCCCCATCCCAAAGGCTCTGAGGGGGATGGAGGCGCATCCAGCTGGGAATAACTCCTGGAGCGGTTTGGGGAGCCCCCCATCCCGAAGGTTAAGCAGCTCAGGGGATTTAGGCACGGAGCCAGGCCCTATTCTGGCTTCAGACCTGCAGATCCCTGCAAATCCCTGAAAATCCCCCTCCCGGATAACACGGGCAGCGCCGGAGCAGCCACCGTGGCACGGGATGGCTCCAGGCCCTCCCAAAACATTCCCTGTGCCCTGCAGCAGGAACAGACCCTTGGGAAAGGGATGTCCAGGGGATGGGAAGGGTGCAGATCTGCTCTGTTGGGAAGGGGCCAGGAAGGAATTTATTTTGGAAAGGGGAAAGTGCTGCCAGGACAGAACCAGGAGCCCGGACAGGGCGGGCCCACGTGTAGGGATTAATCCCTAGAAAAACAGGAGCTGCTGGAATAAGTTTTCCATGGGTAAAAAGCATTTTCTGACAGGTTATTCCCTTAGGGAATGGGCTGGGATGGGATGGCACAGGAAAGGACCCTTTCAGCCTGATTCCAACACTGGGATCACGGAAGGGGACACCAAACTGTCACTGTGGGGGACTTGGAGCTGCTGGACTTTTCCTGGGGAAAGAGTGTTTTCTGACAGGTGATTCCTTAAGGAATGGGCTGGGATGGGTTGGGACAGGGCAGGACCCTTCCAGCCCGATTCCAACAGCGGGATCATGGAAAGGGACACCAAACTGTCACCGCGGGGGAAGACGGCGAGAGAGGCCCGAGGGGAGCCCTCCTGGGAAAATCCCTCGGGAGAATCCAGCTGTTCCCAGCCCGTCCTACCATGATCCAGACGTGGAAGGAGATGCTGAGCGCCAGGTAGGCAGCGGAGAGCAGGATGGTTCCCTTGAACTTATGGAAAAGCAGGCTGACCAATCCGGCCTGGAACACGAAGGTGTTGAAGAACATGAGGAAGACGATGATGACGTTGAAGAGGATGGCGATGTCCTGGATGCTGCCGGGAAAACGCGGGCGTTGGGGCGGTTGGGATCTCCGGGACCTCCGGGATCTCCGGGATCTCCCACCCCCCACTTCCCAGCACTCACATGAAGAGGACGAGCTGCACGGCCGGAGCCGTCCGGAGCAGCTCCGAGAAGGAATTCACGAACAGGTCGTAGGAGAGCAGCAGGAACTGCAGGAACAGCACCAGGCTGTAGTTGCTGGGCTGGAGCATCCTCCTTTCCCAGGCCTTGGAGCGCTCAGCCCCAGCATTCCCGACGGATCATGGCGCTGGGGGGGCTCAGCGGGGCCGCTCCCGACATCCCACACCTGGAGAAGAGGCACAGGGATTGTCTGTTTGCTGGGATGGATCCCAGGGATTGTTTGGTAAGTGGGATGGATCCCAGGGCCTCTCCCAACATCCAGGACCTGGAGAAGGGGCACAGGGACTGTGGGATGGATCCCAGGGCCTCTCCCAACATCCAGGACCTGGAAAAGGGGTACAGGGATTGTGGGATGGATCCCAGAGCCTCTTCCAACATCCCGGACCTGGAAAAGGGCAACAGGAATTCTTTGGTAGGTGGGATAGACCCTAGGGGCTCTCCTTAAATCCAGAAACTGGAGAGGGGACTTAGGGATTGTGGGATGGATCCTGGGGGCTTTCCTGATATCCAGGACCTGGGATTGTTTGGCAGCTGGGACGGGCAGCTGGAAAACCAGGAAAACCTAGTAAGCTGTGTCCCCTCCCCCTTCAAATCCATCCCAAATCTCCACGTGAGGAAATCCAGGGATGAGGGAGCCGTGCAATCCCAGGGAGCAGCGTCCAGGCAGGTTATTCCCGGCTCCATGGGCAGTGCCGGGCAGGACACGCTCCAGGAGCAGGTTTGGGCACGTCCCACTCCGGGCAGAGGAGAGGGGTGAGGATACAGCCAGGAATTTGGGAACACGGGAGCAGGTACAGCACTCCTGGGCCATGTATCCCATAGGAGCAGCCCCTCTGGGATCATCCCGATTGGAGAAGGGAGGGAGGGGCTGTGGGAAATCAGGGACCTTCCATGTCCTGGAAGGAGAGGGGTGGGATGGAGAATTAATTCCCTGAGGGGGAGACACAGGGATGGGAATGCGGGGAGAGGGATGGAAAGGGGGGAAAAGGGATGGAAAGGGAAAGGGAGGAAAGGGTTGGAAATGGGGGAGAAGAAGGGCTGGACACGGGGGCAGGAAAGGGATGGAAAGCAGCAGAAGTGGCTGGAAATGAGGGAGAAAAGGTTGAACGTGGGGGAAAAGGCTAGAAATAGAGGAAAAAGGGCTGGATATGGAGGATGAAAGGGGTTGGAATGGAGTCTAGAAAAGATCTGGATATGCGAAAGAAGTGGTTGGAAAAGGGGGAGGGGAGGGGTTGGACATGGGAAAAAAGGGCTACAAGTAGAAGGAATGGCTGGATATGGGAATTAAGGGGATCACTCCCTCCCCCAGATCCCACATCACCCCCCCTTTCCCACAGACACCCCCCACCATTCCGGGGCACCCGCCTCCGCCTCCCCCTTTCCCCCGCCCGGCTCCCCGCCCCCGGGGTCGCCCCCCGCTGCCTCCAACCCCCCCCCGGGTCCCGAGTGTCCCGTCCCGGGGGTCTCAGGGGGGGTCCCCGCCATGTCCCCCCGCCCCGGGCGCTGACCCGCCGCCGCCATCTTGGTCTCCATGGCAACAGCCGCCGGGGCCCGGAAGAGGCGCCGGAAGTGGCGCCTGGAGGACCCGCTCGGGGCCGCTCTGGCCGCCGCTCTCGGTGGCGGCGCATTGGCGGTGGTACCATAGAGATGAGCGGGCAGAGAGGCGCCTGCCAAGATGGCGACGCCCAGTGACGAGGCGGGGGCGGTGGGGCCCAGGTACGGCCCCAGGGGCGGGAGGGGCGGGGGGCGGCCCCGGGGGCCGGGAGGGGCCGAGGGGCCTCCTGGGCTGGGTTTGGGGGCGTTTCAGGGGCGGGGCCTGTGTCCTCAGGTTCGGGGGAGCCCCAGGTTTGGGGGGGGCCGTGTGGCCCCATGTCCCGGATTTTGGGGAGCCGTGGGGGTCCCGTTTCCCAGGTTCTAGGGACCCACGAGTTCCTGTGTCTCCAGTTTTGGGGAACCGTGGGGCCCCATGTCCCCACCCCTTCCTGCCCCAATGCCCCGTGGGCAGCTGATTTTGGGGAGCCGGGACTTCCCCCACCCCCGGAGGGGCCAGAAATAGCCCTCTGTGGGGGCACACGCAAATCACACGCAGATCACACGCAAATGAGGCTCCTGCCAATCACCCCCTGCGGGGAAGGGGGGGGACACGACACACGGGACAAGTGACCCTGGGAGCCCCTCGCTGCCATTCCCTGGGAATTCGGCTCTGCACGTCCTGCTCCATCCCTGGATCTGTGCCAATCCAGGGAGCAGCTGGACACCCAACACCCCCTCGAAATTCCCAGTTCCCCTTTCTGTGGCTCCTCTGCCGGAGCTGTCCCCAGGTGCCACTACCAACCCCCCTGGATCCGTGCCTGACCTCCTTCCCAGCCCAGGGAGCAGCTGGGCCTGCTCACTCCCCTCAGGGTTCCTGCTTCTCCTTTCTGTGGCTCCTCCCTGGGGGGTGTCCATCCATCCACCTGTCCATCCATCCCTGACCTCCTTCCCAGGGCTGGGAAGCAGCTGGAACCCGGCCACCAACCCTGGCTGGGAAGCAGCTCTGTCCCTGTCACCTTTCCTGGGCTGGGAAGCAGCTCCATCCTTGTCACCCTTCCCAGTCCAGGCCCCCCCTCCCCTCGGTTCCCTGTGCCCCCCCCGCCCCCTCAGGGTTCCCAGTTCCCCTTTCCGTGGCTCCTCCCCGGAGCGGCTCCGGACCCTGAGCCGGCTCCTCGCTCGTCCCCAGGTGCCACCAGCGCTCCGTGGCCATGCTGGACATTCCCTTCCCGCCTTTCGGCGCCTTCCTGGGATCCCTGGGCTTGCTCTGCG